TTTGGTGCTGTTGTCTACACATTGACACCAGAAAGAAAGTTATGGCATCTGATTAGCATGGCCATTCGATATTTCCAAGACAACGCTCAAGAATGGGATACTGATATTTTATCGAATTGAACGCATTATGACACTTTCAACTTCAGTGGTCTGATACTGAAACCTCAGGTCTACCTTGTCATCCATCGGCACAGTTTTGCCGGAAGCGGCACTCGGCTTGTCTTGGTTACGTATTCCATTGTGATAGAAGTAGCACTCAACAAAAATCTACGACATCAATAGCTCTGTAGATGACAATATATTGACCGCGCGGCAGTTTTCACCCCATAATGCGGAGGAGATCTGCAATGCATGTCTCCATTTGATCGGCTGGAGAAACTCCGTGGTATTATACCCCAGATCTGCTCCAGGATTTCTACTATTAGATCAGCCACTGCATCTGCTTCCCGCGTTTTAATAGCGTGCAATAGATGCCGTAGTCTGGGGAAGGACAATAATTTCTATTTAGCCGTTCAGGAACAAGTCTATTCCAGGTACGCCCAAATAAACATATGTGTTTTAGATGATACTTTTCATTTCCAAACGTCGACACCTTAGCGCACCACGAAAACTTTTATGATGACCATCGACATCTTAAAAAGTAACATCACCATCACACCTATTCCGTAAAGACTGAGACATTTTAGTAATACTCTCACTTCAGTCCTTGAAAACTCCACAAGTATCCTTCAACGTGTGAATATGAAGGTAGTTCTGCTCGCCCTGTTCCTAGCATCAGACGCTTTTGCGGCGACGCTGCCTGGGACCATGGAAATACGAGCCATCGGGGCAGTATCTCCCAACGGCACCTGTGGCATGGACAGAGCAGGAGAAAATAATGGATTTACTTGTCCAACTGAAAGTCCTTGTTGTTCTGGCTTTGGATATTGCGGATCCAACTCGACATACTGTCTTACATCGCAAGGCTGCCAAGGTGCGTATTCCGCCACACAGGCGGCATGCACAGCACCACAGGAGGGCACAACAGTCAGCCCAGATGGAACGTGTGGAAAGACTGGGGATGGGAAGTTTGGATACAGATGTCCTGTCGCCGGACAGACTTGCTGCTCATCATTGTAAGCTTGAACCCTATTCAAATAGCTGCAGCTATTGGATCATCGCGAATACTTTAGCTTTGCGCAAAAATGGAGTTGCTCCAATTTGTACTGACGAATTCTAGTGGATATTGCGGGAATACAACCAACCACTGTGCACCTGATCAAGGATGCCAGGCTGCCTATGGGACATGTTCGCCGGCATCGCCAGCATCTTCTGGGCCTCCGCCGTCCCCTTCGTCTGTGGGTGTAAAACGAGCACCCGTTCATCTTTATTAGTAAATAAATCACAATACATAAAACATACGCGTATGGAATTTGACTCAAGAAAGGTGTGAAAGCCGCTTGTGAAAGCCGAGGGTGATGGAATAATGAATGCAATGGCATTCATATCTCTGGTTCTATATCAAGTGAAGAAGCTGCTGGTTAAGCGATCATGCATTTACAGTGCTGAACTCCTCTCGTATCCTCGCTCACTATCTCCATTCTGGCTGCCTGGTAGCTTCAACAACCTTCAGTTTCAATCCTTGGGCTTTTATACACCTTGCTGTTTATCTGATATGACCCTGAACCTTGCGTAGAACACTTTTAGATCGATAATATGGGAGGGTCTTGAGGCGTAGTATTTCCATTTTAGAAAACCTTGAACTTTAGTTAGCATGTCTTTTTCCGGGATCGTGCCGTCGAGCTGGGTGTTTATGTCGGCACTGTGGTCTCTAGATCGTCGAAGCTGATATGGGAATTATCAAACTTGTCGAGAAGAATCGTGAGAGACCTTTGAGCCAGCTCTGTGGCAAAGTCGCCGGAAATGAGTTCGAGGCATAGTCCGGAACAACATCTGTCTACCCTTTTCAGCACAGGGATAGAAATCATGATGTTGCGCAGCTGGCCGTATTGATTTATATCATATCTCCCCCATCTTTGAGCCTTATCTGCAAATGGCTGGAAAACCGGTCGTCGGGGCCATGTCCCTGCGTCCTCTTCAGACCACGACCCTATGCCCTTAAAGAAGAAGATGTCTCGAGATGTGTTGATCGTATCCTCTAGGAATGCTGATCTTGTGTGATACTGTCTCTCATCCTCCGACATAAAGCAATTTACGACTTGTTGGCCCTTTTGACAGGCCCCTCCGATGGCTTGGACGATAAGATGGGGATTCTCCAATTTCAGCGCAGCCTTGTTGAGACATCTGTAGTCATAAATCCGTCTGTCATATCTGAGCACAATGATCCGACGTGTGTTGAATGGGATAAGAGCATCTTTCCAAAGCTGATCTCTGATTCCTTGGGAAGGAAGGGGAAGAGTTGGAACGTCTGTGTCGTTTGGCCGGTGACTGGAGGAGATGACTCAGTACTAGATGGCATCTTGTTCATAGGACACGATAAGCTATCGTTGAAGGCACTCAGCGAGATTTCTTGTGCGCTACGAGGAGTCTGTGCCTTGTTTTTTAAGCACCTATGATGATGGAAGTGAGGATTCGGTGAGGTTATGTAGGAAGGAGGTTGCTTAGGAAGGGGCAAAACGTGACGTTCTTGAGGTACTAAATTCAAAGCCGACTCAGATTGATGACGTTAGTGATGTGCTCTACAAGATCTGGCCAAATTTTGCCGGAAGAATTTCGTCGATCATGCCGCTGTGTTGATATGGTTGTAAGGACCCGTCAAGGAGTGGTCTGGGATGACAGATGATCAGGCTGTCTAATTAGATACAGCTAAAAAGCGAGAGGAGAAAAGCGGGTGTCCTACAATCTGATTAATGAACACACAAAAAAAAGCATTTACCTAATTAAAGAATTACTGCACTTGAAAGGAATAAACGGCCACAAAGTCCAAATGCAGAGTGAAGTCCAAGTAGCAGCAACACCTCTTCCCAGTTGGCTGTTAATGTCTGTCTTCACCCCCATTCTACGAGACACAAATTCACACGAGACTCTAGTAAGCAATGCTGACTTCAGCAGTATGACAGAAAATACGAGTTTCGGGCTCTGGCACAAGCGGGAAAAGCGCCAGACGCCTCCCGGTCAAGATGCCCCGTTAAAGAATAAAGACCTTTGCCAGAATGACTACGGATGCGAATAACTGCGTTTCCTATTGGGGTGCAGGCCAAAGTGCCGTCCCCAATGGACACGCTATCTGGCGCTCGGCTGAGTTCGACGAAACAGGCGACCATGACGGCCAAAAGCTACTTGGAGGATCTCCACTCCAACTAGAACTGGTTAAGCATGTTGAGGAAATTTACTCACCTTGCTTCAGGGATCGGTTCATATTCTTCCCCATAATGAAACTTACTCATAAAATATTGTCAAGCATGTGGTGCTTAAAGCCTAGGCTGAGGTTCAGTCGCCTACAACTCCCCCTCTGTGGAAAGTTATTCAGAATCTTCCCTCCTCCTCGTCCTATTATTCCCTGCTACGTCGCATGTAGACGCCACTGGAGATCCACCGTCGACCGTTCGAGCTAATCTTACTCGTTGTTCCGGTCACTGCTAAACCGTCAGTTATCCTTGCAAGCTACACTCTACTTCAGTACCGGCTCAACTACCTCAAACACGCCTGCCCCGGCAATCACTCAAAACATGGCGTCCCTTTCTCTATGACCATTTGCAATAGAAGCTGCCTGGACTCATTGTCTTTGGCTTTGGAAAACTGCGCTTGGGATCTTGCACAAAATTGTGAAGTATGACAAGCTCAAGCGCAGCAGAAGCGTGCAGCCCACGATTGATTTTTAGAAAAATGAGGCCTAGCCTAGACCAGCAGAGGCATTGACACATTGTTACACCTCGGCACCGACTAGAAGAATCGAATTGTTTTCTCGGGGGCATTTCTAAAACACGATTTAAAGACTTAAAAGGAATGAGAAAGGACAACGTACATAGATCCGAAGCCTACGTTATCAGTTTGGCCGACAAAGAACCGGACCGTACCAATGAAATACACCGGAAGCAGAGCAGTGAATCAATTCGTGACTCGTTGGGGTTGATGTGAAATCGTTTAGAAATAAATAGAAGTGGAAAGTGGAAACAAAGCTCATTTATAGGTATATGTCTAGCCTGTCTCTGTTTCAGTTACCTTAGTACACATAACAAGGTGATCCATCATAGTCGGTTACGCGGATCATCATTTACAACTGGTGAGTTCTCACTTGAGTCTTTTCAATGAGATACCTCATGACAGAGACAAACAAGCCACATGCTAGACTCTAAGACATATAGTATACGGTCTTTCAATCGTTTATTACTCGCTGTCTATCTGATAACCAAGACTGATTCTTACCTGAGGATACTCATTATCAAACTTTCTCACTAGTATGAATGGTGAACAGTACCATTGATGTTGATTATCTCTTTAAAAGGGGGGTTGGTATGGTTGGTTTGCGTGCATTTTGTCTGCCGCAGCCTTGGCATCTCAAGCCAAGAATGGCGGGTTGAAGAGCCAAGACCGTTATCAAAACTTCACGTGCTAAGGAACCCATGCTGATTCATCGGCTTCAGTCCAATTCAGGCAGGCCGGGGTTGTCCGCCGTCTCCACGGCGTCGGCGATGCGACCGAGAACAAGGTGGAGAGGCTTGGCGGTGCAAATGACGATCGTTGAATGACGCAGAGGTAAAATAGCAATGCTTGGGTGGGCAAATGGCCCACGAAAATGATAATTTGGGGTCGGTTCCAGCATTCACTCGAGCCATGGATGGGCAAATGCTGCCATCCTGGTCACGGATCGTCTGCTGATATAGTACGGCATTGCCCTCTACATGTCAGTATCGTCACACTGCAGCAGCTCGTTACCACTGCGACGTTCCCTCAAATACGCATCCTTCTGCCGTCCCTCATTTACCGCCAATTCTCTCTTGTAATTGGTGCTTATCCATCAATAGAGCCGCACTGCTTCGGGTTGCATTCAACCGCACTTCATGATGACCACATTCAAGGCATTCGCATTGTCAGCTCTCTGCATTGGTGCAAGTGTAGCAGAGGATATTTTGCTTAGCCAGCGTAGATTGAGCAAACGCTTCATTGACGAGGAGGGTAATTACAATATCTCGTTCTACCACATCAACGACGTCCACGCCCACCTGGATGAGTATTCGTCATCCGGCACAGACTGCACCAACCCTTCAAGAGGCTGCTATGGAGGTTATGCACGCGTGAAGACCGTCATAGATGAGACACGTCCGTTACACAATGATTCGCTATTCCTGAACGTCGGGGACGAGTTTCAGGGGACACTATTCTTCTCATACTACGGTGGTGAGAAGATCGCCGAAACTTTGAATCAGCTAGGCTTCGACGGCTTTGTGTTAGGCAATCATGAATTTGACAAATTTGATGATTTTCTGGGCGATTTCCTGGCGAATCTCACGTTTCCTATCATCAGCGCGAACATCATCTCTGACAACGAGAAGTTGAATAAGACGATCAAGCCATATCACATCTATGAAGAGTACCAGCTTGCCGTAATCGGAGTAACTACTGATACTACACCAAGTATATCGTCGCCAGGAAAGGGAACTGTGTTCACTGATCCAATCGAAGCCGTGCAGAACACGGTTGACTTGATCCGAAGCACCACCAATATCACCCGGATTGCAGCCATCACACACATTGGATATGAGGTCGACCAGAAGCTCGCCGAGGAGACTACTGGCCTGTATCTGATTATGGGTGGTCATAGCCATACTCCGCTTGGTGACTTCGAGGGGGCGGAGGGCCCGTACCCGACCATTGTGAAGAACAAGGATGACGAGGAAGTCTTCATCGTCACTGCCTATCGTTGGGGCGAGTACTTGGGCTACATTGACGTAACATACGATGCTGACGGCAGAATTCTCGCCTATCATGGAGGCCCTATCCATATAACCAATGAGACGAAGCAGGACCCTGAGCTGCAAGCACAGATTGATGAATGGCGTGGACCATTTGAAGAGTACGCCGCCCAAGAGATTGGCACAAGCAGCGTCATTCTTGATCAGAGCACGTGCCAGCAGAGGGAGTGTCTTTTGGGTGACTTTATTGCCGAGTAAGTACTTTCCTCAATGTGGCAAGATGATGAAACGATATATTTGCTAACACCTGTAAGTGCAATGTTGACATACCGCCTTAACTCAACCGACGACGTTGATTTGGCTATCATAAACGCCGGCGGTGTTCGTGCAACGATTGACGAAGGGCCAATTACTCGTGGCGAGGTGCTCACATCATTCCCTTTTGGTAATGCAGTGACAGACTTGACTTTGACCGGCCAGCGCCTGTGGGACACCTTTGAAGGCATCGTGTCGGAAACAAACCTCGACAACGGTAAAGAGGTGACCTCATTTGTTCAGGTTTCACGAGGCGTGATCATCGAGTATAACCCGAGCGCCGCAAACGGCAGTCGGATGGTCTCACTCACCATCAAGGACGCGGCGGTCGACCTGGAGGCTGAGTACCATTTGGTGACGGTGGACTTCGTCGCTGGAGGTGGTGATAACTTCTTCAGCCCTATTTTCGAAAACTTTGTTGTCTTGGATACGCTAGATGAGATCTTGACGGCATACATTGGTAGCCAAAGTCCTGTAGACATTGCGCTGGAAGGGCGCATTGTGCAGAGCAATGGTACGGCGACTGATGATGGAAATGGTAGCACTACAACGACAGGAGCACCAGGCCCGACAACCACGGCACCAGATGCCGCTACGTATGAGGGCCTTAGTCGAGCCTTGTTGGCAGTAGCATTGTTCGCGACCCTCGCATTCGTTATATGAATGTACGCAACAAAGTAGGGAACATAGTCAAGTACCAAATCTCGTCACGCACCATTGAACGAGGCAACTCTCATGTGCCGCCGAACCATAATTATGCATTGAGAAGGCTAAGGCTATCTTTGCTATCCTTCCTTAATTTCTTGAAACCCCCATTGGACCTTCCCCTGTGATGATCCATACCAGTGTCCCTGGGGACAGTTGTTTCTACAGTAGTTTTAGTGACCCTTCCATCCCTCAAAGGGTCAACGTGCCAACGGACAAAGGGGTCCGAGTACCGCTTCTTCGTCGGCATAACCGGTGGCAGTACGTAAAGCTCCGCTTCATCCTCCATAGTACTGAAGCGCCGCACTTCACGTGTGACGTGGACCTCTTGTGTGACAAATATCCATCCCATACTCTGCTCAATCACTGGCCAGAAGACAGGGAGCGAGGCACAAATGGTCGCCAGGTTAACTTCAAGAGCCGCTACCACAATTGGTACACAGCCGTACCAACTTGGATCAAGGGTCGGGTAGGTTCCAGCCCTGGACTCGACAATGCTGACCAAACGCCAGGTAGAAAGACCTGTAACACTGGTATGTATTAGTCAAACGTTTTGCTAAATATTAGCGACAGCAGATGGACTCACACAGTTCCAATTACGAAAAGTCCAAGTAGACCGAAACGTCCTCTCCTCCCTACTTCAGGGTCAAAATATACGGGAGTGGGTATGGCCAGTACAATGAGGTTGAGAACCAGGTTAGAAGTGACGTGGCTTATGTATGTGCGGGCGAATACGCCAGGGTCATGAGATCCAAATCCGTATCGTACGGCATCGGTGATGGACCAGTCCCAGTATGCCCTGACTGGAAATGCAGGGAGCCAGGCGATAAAGGAATAGGCAAATCCCCATAGAGAGGTGATTGCAATCATCGTAATGGTGATGAAACGTAGCATGGGTCGGTCGAACAAACGCAGATACTGAAAGAGCAGCGCAAGCTTGATGAAAGTAGTAGCCATTGGATAGCCTGCGTTGGCCACGTAGAAGGTCTGATCCACCCATTTAGTGAGATGGAAATAGAAAGCTCGATCACCGTCATACCTTGATGAAGCCCTGCATCTGAGTGAGGTTGAACAAGATGAAATGCTTGCCCAGGCCAAAATTCAGCGCTGATAACGGCCAATTAGCTCCTTGTAGACGAGTTTGTACAAGATTTGACCAACCTAAACAAGTCCCTATCGACATTACCAGCGCCGAAATCTATTGTATCCGCTATCAGACGCCTGCGGCCAAGGTCTTGCCTGGAAGCCACTTACATTGGCTAAAATCAAGAAGAGATCATCCCATCCCGGGCACCGAAGAACGAAGAATCGAGTATATAGTCGAATGCCGCCACATATCCACGCAAGAATCTAGACGATCTGTTAGATATAGACCGAAACAGAGGTGTCCATTGCAGGAGCGCCTGTTGTTCTTACCAGAACTGAAATAACAACGCCTAGCACAGCCGATCGTCGATTCAAAGTCGGCTCCGGATCATGAAGGTTATCGACCTTGCCGAGCAAGTCAAAGACGGTCCCCATCGCGCAAGCGAGGGCGGTAGTCGATGTCTACCAACAATTGGAAGACGGGCGAAAAGCCGGCGGTGCCATTCGCACAACGGCGACTCATGAACGCTGGTCTTGGAGCCTGCGTGTACTCCAACTGGCGGGAGCTCGAAACGTTTGACAGGCTGCCCCCAATGAACCAATTGGTTGAGCGCCGCTGGGGCGCGGAGAATATATGAGTCGGAGTCGATCTGCCGACAAATGGGGACAGCGAAATGATCAGCGGTGCGTAGCAGCCGATTCTGGATGTGGCTTGCTGGCTGTCCTTCTGAGACACGCTAGACATGCACCACAAGGACAACACCTTCCGCTTTCCAGGCCGACCCCTGAGCGCTTGGGCTTCAAACAAACGTGGGGATACGGCTTCGAGAAGACATTCGCGGATGCTTCGAAGCTTCCTTCCTTCCTCTTCAAGGGCCAGAGATGTCAGCTCGGCAGTTCTCGTTCGCCAACCAGTCAACTGCCAGAAGAGTCCACTCTTGAGGATGGAGTCGAAACGCCACCAGTCATCACGTCGCCGGAAACAACGATGCCGTGCGCGATATGCTGGGGGAGGAGCCAGGAACACCCCGACCTGAAGGATTCGTACAAATTACAACCCCCATTGTCCGTCGAGGACACTAGCCGGGAATACTCTGAACTTTCTACCTCGTTTCGGATGTTAGGGCTGAGTAGACGACCAGGATGGGAATAGGGGCTCGCCTTATCCTGATAGTAGGGCTAGCGCAACGCGACAGTACGCCATGCATGCTTAGTACTTTGGGACCCAGCAGGCTCGCCTCGCTCAGTCCGAGATCCGTTGAATTCCCAGGGTTTCTTGCGAAAGAGTGCAGTTTGATAGCCTAATTACTTGGTACTCTGCTTGCCATGTCGTCCTGCCCTGGTAAAAGCGTGAGGTTCGGGCCATCTAGGCCAGCTGATTCAATAATGAACATCTGTAGCACCCACCGATCGACAGTGCTGTGGGATCGCGCAAACTGCCAAACATCCAGACGAACAATGGTGCGCTACAGGTCTGCAGGCTGAATACTGTTGGGGCAAGCGAAGTGACCTCCCACTGCAACCTCGAGCATGGATCGCGGGCTGCTATCCGAACCCCGTCATTATATATACCTGTGCAAATTTTGCAGCTTGCAGGAGATCGAGGCGCCCGAAACACAGAGCGTAAATTGCCCATATTCCATCATAAGAGGTAAATTGGCCAATCAACGCAACTTCTTCACCATGATTGTTGAGGTGTTCCTGCAGGTGTCCTGCGGAGAAACCTGGTCGTCAGGATAGCACCCTCTGCTTTCGTCGTACACTGTCTAGTTCCCGGTATACCAATTGGGAAAGTCGGCTCAGTGCGCTGTATTATGGTGGTCAGCACCTCCGTTGCGCTGCGCTGCTAAAGTTCGCCCGACTTGAAGAGGTCTGTGCCGCTGTCAATCGACCGCCCCCCACTGCTCAGCAGGCAGATCCCTGTGTGCGATTAGCTTAGAGATAATAAATTAATAACTCTCTCTTATTCTTTATTTTATAACAGTCGTCATTGGCGGCCGCTGGCCTCAGTGTGTCTATACTGGAGGCACTGTCCGGCAGCCAGACAGCAGTCAATGCAGGCATTGCTCAGTCTATATAAGATGGTACGGAACGTTAAGCGCTCCTGGAGGCTTTCGCATGGAACATAAGGAACATGTTTATCATGTACACATGCTTGGCCGCCATAGCAATGGCGGCCAGTGTGTTTATCAAACACTGAGACATAAACACAGAGCATACGGAGACGATAACAGGAATACAGAAGCTGACGAAAGCAGCGGACACTAAAGGGTAAATAGGGTGAGAATTTAGTTGGCGTAGATAGTTTTATATGGATGGCAGCATTCACACACACTCATGAAGGTCTTGGCCCAACCTGGGGCGCCGGGAGAAGACAATGTGCAATGCCGCTGCTACCCTTCAATGATGGCTTCGTCGATAAGGTCGAGGTCGGGCCGGAGTTCAGGAGCTAGGGCAGGGGTAACAGGTGCCCTCACATTGTGCACTCCCTTCTCGTTCATCGAGCCGAACTGTTTGAGCTACCTAATACACCGATTTCATGTACTGTTTCTTTGCGTCGCTCACTTCCCCGTCGGCCTCAGAACAACATCAACCATGGCGACAATGCAGCAATATTCCCAGAAACAAAAACAGCCTTAGCAGCTAGACCAAGAACATCATCACGAACATCACGAAGGCTGCCCTCATGTTGATCGGACACCATCCCTCATACAGCTCCCCGAGGAACTCATCCTGTTGATCGGCCGCGCCATGACCAGCAGCGCCTCCTCCCGCATCGCATTGCCCATGTTGTCGCTGCCGCCGCAAAGACATGCAAAAAGCTTCACCGCAGTCTCATCGATCTGGCATACCTCGAAGCCATGAAGAGGGACACCATGCGGCTTTCACAGACACCACTCGAGATCCTCACCTCAGTTGAATGTACTGCCTGTCCCCCGTCATTCTGCGGGCTGCTGAGCACAATCGCCTCGACACACACTCGCCCTTCTCTACCCAGTTCAAGCTCAAGCACCTTGGCATTCCTCGGCATCTTCTTCCACTGTCTCTTCTGACTGACAATGGCGATGCCAAGTTGAGTTCGCGTCCTTGGCCGCCGCTTTCTCGTACCCCCCGCAACAGGACATTCAGAATCTTACAAACACCTAATCAGTCAGCCTTCTGCTCTTCACCTTGCCCCCTCACGAGACGTAGCTACTTCAACCATTGCCATATCTACATCTTCACCTTTTTTTCTTAGGAAAGCGAGCAACGCCACATCTTGCTCTCCATCGCATCTTGCAAGTTGTGGCTCTCATTCGCAGTAACTCGGCTTGGCTCGGGTCCTTGACGAAATCTGCAGGATCATACTCCATTGCCTCGCATCAATTGATTTGAACCGAATTACTCAGTATTGTAACGATATGATACGAAATGATCTACAAGGTGACATGCTAGGCTGATGCCAATTTCATGCCTGATTCCTCACTCAAGCACGCAAGCGTCCTACTTGACCCAGCATAATCGTGTACGGTCTTTTCCTTTGGGCCGAATACTTAGGAAGAACGGCGTATAGGTTGGTAATATTGGACCACGAGTAGAATCAATTCGTGAGGCAAGTAGGTAGTTGTGCCAGACAGTGTTCTCCATTGTCGTGCTTGTCACTTTCTGTGAGGTGAATCGTGTTGCCGCCTGGATCCTCAAGTCGGGGATGGGAAAAAAATACTAGTGGAAGTCGCTCTTTGGCTCTATGCCCCTGCACACATGAGTTGCAAAGTCAGAATGAACAGTGTCATTTACTAAGCTACCTTAACAGGGAGAATCTTTGCAAGGTGATATCTTCGCAGTAGCTACAAGACATAAGTGTCTTATGAAGTCATCCGATCATTGCGGCCATATTTCTTCCCAGAATGCATTGCTCGAATCCACATCGAATCCACAACTAGCCGCCACGTTGACATGAAGATAGCAACAATCACAAAGCGAATTCATGGTACCATTCTGGTACAAATCTCAGACTCCCAACAACCGATAGCCAGATGACAGGTCAGTGAGGACTCCCAATCTGGGTCTCCGATACCCGATCCAACATTTCTCCTCCCTTCTCTCACATGCTCTCATCGATAGAACTGTCACCATCTGTCTCGTACTGTGCATCATCTTCCTCCTGCGCTGCTACTAGTTGTTTTGCTTTTTTCTGGAATTGGTCGATGATTCGACTCGGGAGGTTCGGCTCGTACGTATGGGTCTTCGGATCAAACTTGGCGGCGTTCAGGGCCTCCCAGGCGCAATAGATCTCGCCGATATCCGCCGCACGAACTGCATCTCCTCCCATCCGGATGTTTGCGTGGAGCCGCTCCTCATGTCCAGACATCTCCAAATGGGTCTCCCACTTGGTGTCCTGGCCTGGACCAATGCCACCGAGGTCCTTCCAGACTGTCAGGACGAGGCAACGTCCCGCACCCTCGATGTCAACGGGAGTGACGGTGTAATCGGTGAAGCACTCCGTACAACCCTTCACTCTCCCAAAGACACTGCTCAATTTTTTGTTGAAAAGAGCGGCGAGCAGGCCGCCGGACACCGCGCTGGTCAAGTCTTCCTTGTTGAGTGTCGCTCGAATATCCTTGTCGCTGAAGCACTTTCCCACGTGATGAAGTTTATGCCATTCTGTCTGCACATGGTGAGCACTGTCATGTTGATCAGCTAGCTTGTTCATATCCTCGACGCAGAGCTTTGGACGACTCTGCTTCCAACTCTTGTGCTGACAGATGGATCTGCCGTTCCAGAAGCTGCCAAGAAACTGGTCCAGTTCCCACATAGAACGCATAGTCTCTGTGTTGGCTTTACGAGGTCGTATAATTATCTGATTCTGGAGCAGGAGATTGCCTCGAATCATGCGAGACGAGACTGTCTGAATAGACTGCCTATGTTCTTCGAAGTTCTTCAGAGAATAGTTGACATAGGTCAGAAACTCGCCATAGTTCCTGTTCTGAAGATATGCCTTTGCAACTGCACGAACAGTAGAGTGCTTGACTTTGTGGGGCAAAGCAAGCTCCACAGCTGAGACCTCGCACGACGCTGGATCGTCGTCGGTATACTTGATGGCGGGGCTATGCAGCTTGAGGCAATTCGGACAAGCGATGAAAAAGACCATATCCCGCTCGAGCAGAACCAAGAGTCGCCAGAGATTATAACCTCGTAGCTGAAGGACGCGAGGGCCTAGAGTGCCGTAGAGCACCTTGTTCACAATGGCAAAGGCGGCAGCGGATTCGGGCGGCAACACCTTGGCGATACAGCAGAGAAGCTCTCGGGGGAGTTGCATGAGCTGGAATACATCCTGAGAAAATTCCGACGAGTGGGAGTGGCTCGGCGATGCGTCATTGATCTCGTAGTATGGGCGCTTATAAAGTTCAAGGAACTTCCAGGGGTTGGGTGCGACGAAGTTTGCGAAAACCTCGGTGTTGCGGTCAAAGGAGCCCCGAGGGCGATTTCCGAGAATAGGGAGTAGGGATGGGTTGATGTTGGCTGATAATGTGAATTTGGGTGCGCAAGAGCCGCTCTCAACAGAGATGGAAACGCCGGCAGCTGTGGTGAATTTCTTAGGGGCGATCACGTTGCCCTCGGCGATAGGTGCCATAGTGGATGGCGAGTCGTTATCGACGATGACACCATTGAGAGCATCGTCGGAAGGATGCTGGTCACCGGTCACCTGGCTGGATGCAGTAGCTTGCGTAGAATCATCGTCGATGTCGAGTTTCGGGGATGCGAGGGCCGTACGCGTCGAAGCGGCTCTCTTGGCAGGGCGACCGTGCTGTTTCTTTACGCCCATCTTGTGCAGATTGCCTGCTTGAGTTGGTTGAGGGAGAGAGATGACAAAAAGCTGGGTGCAGCAGTCTGTCTGCTGATGCTTCTAGCAGAAGCAGTGAGGGAGTGAAAATAGAGGGAATGGATGAGAGAGTACAGAGACAGGAAGATGGAAGGAAGATGGAAGATGATGAACCCGTTTTATTGATGAAGGAGATAACGACCAGGAAGTGGAAGCGGAAGAGCTGGCAAATGTGGTGCCTAATGTAGGTGATCTGAAGAGCCCTGAGGGAGGTTGAATGAAGGAAGGAACGAGACGACGAAAGAACGGAAAGCACGTCCCGCCGCAATCGTTTGTTTGCCTCACCCTCTCAAGATTTCCAATGTTCCATCTGTTGGCGTCACAATTTTTGAGATTGAACAATCCATCTCTGGTTCTGCGGACCAGTACGTGTACGCTCATTTTCCACATGAAGGATCTCAGCCAACATCAGTTACAAGAGCTAACGCTAAGATGATAACTACTTCGTCAATTGCGCCTGCGCGGGAGTCCAACAACCGATAACTGCCAGACATTCTCCTCTATGCGGACATGTCTCCTCAATCAATCCATCATCTGTCGGGTCGTTACTCATTTAGCTTCTCGCCATCTCCCACCCATCCACTCTGTCAGTCGTTGGCATCAGGATGTCACTGACATAGCAGCCAGTACTGAGAGAACTCCGCCAGCATCATGATGCCTCCCAATCAACTTCACCCTATCCGCAACCCGATTCGCAAGAGCCAAGGAACACTTTTTCTCTTCCTGAAGTGCGTTGAGATCAGCCGCGAGGGCACTTCTTGAGCCACCCTATTGGCATCACCTCCACAAGGTCCTCCATAACTATCATTCATTATCACACCAACAACCTCGCATGCAATCGCAACGGTGGCTCGATCCAAGTCAAGCTGCGTGTCCATTGGTTGTCTCAAGGATAACCAAACGCATGGTCTACAATACCTTTTTCGGCACCCTGTTCGTCTTCTAGGACCGGTATGGTAGAATCAATTCAATGACTTTGGGACACCGTTTGCAAAGTCCTGATCGCAAGTTTGAGGTCTAGGAGGTTAAGTAACATGCGAAGGCCTCGGAACTCCGCAGGAGCTGGGCCATCTATCATCTTCGACAGGTGCTACCACCAGTTACTGGAAACCCTGCTTATTCGTGTTCGTGGCTAGATAGCTTACATGGTCAAACTGAGCGTGGGCGAATCTATTGTGTCTCGCCGGTCGGTCCATATGCTTGTCATATGGCATGTGTAGGATTGCATTGGAGACGAGTGCCTGGGGTATCAGCTGCTGCACAATGTTGCTGCACAGCTCGAACTTCTAACTTGCTTCAGTAGTGAGCTCAGCAGAGGTCAGTGGATTCATTGGAGTTTTATCAATGTCACTAGAGTTAAGAAAATTTCATCAGAGTTTGGTAATTTTCACGAAGATCCATTGTCACGGGCAGAAAAAAAGTCAAGGTCGGTGGTTCGCTGACCCGGGCGGGCCAAGCCAGCAGCCCATATATTCCCACTGCGGGCCGTAGAAAGGGATCAGCATCGGCGCCCAACGGTTCGTATGTCCAATAAGAGATTAGATAAGTATACTTAGTTGTAGTCACATCTACCGACATATCTTGAACATTCCGCAAGGCTCAAACCAATGACTTTTAAGGGAACTTTCGATCGTACGTAATATTCGAATACTAACTCTGTTGTTTCAACAAGCTGACAACATAACCGAGCCGTTCCTTGCAGCAAGCTTCATGGCTTACTGAATATCTGTTTCCGGCTTGCGCTTCTGCGCCTGCATTGATCAATATCTTTGCCATGTCATACTTTCCGTAGGATGCTACGCTTTCAATTGCTGTCACTGTCTTATACGGCGCGAAGTCTTCATGAAAAATGAACGATGGACTTACGCTATAGATGTAAATTATGGCGCATCACTTCACGTACGACCATAGATAGTGGAAAATATGGCATCCCGTCCGCTCTGCCTTAATCAAGCCACTAATCGCCGGACTAGTAGTTGGGTCGGTGACGACCAGCGAATCCCTGGTGTTGTACGTCTTCTATTTTTACGGATCTCTTTTCTCTTTTTTTGTAAATCTTTTTTTAAACATTAGCAAGCATATACTTCATGCAATACACACAGACTTGAAATATATGGGAAGGGATGGCTTCATGCAGGTAGGTGATTAAAGCCATTGCAGGCTGTTCAGAAACGCCCACTTGTCTACCTGCTCCCGCGGACCCCACCCAGTAGGGTTGGCCGAAGGCCATGGTACCACAACCAACCACGAGTGCGCGGCGCAAGTGCCCCAGTGGCTGTGAACAGCGCCGCCACGCCCACGGCTGATGAGATATTATGCTACCAGCCGGCACAAAAGATGGCTGGGAAAGAGTGACAAAGGCCGTCTGCATCTGCCGAAGAGCTTCCAACATGATATGCTCCCGAGAAGCCCGTTCTCATTTCCGTGGCGCGCAGAGTTGAGGGCCTGAGCCAGCACGTAGAAATCCTTAGGAGTTCCTTTAAATGGGAAATTTGACACAGATCTTTTCACTTGCTTCCTTCTGACTGTCTTGGAGTTTTAATGCAGGTAGGTTGACCTCAATTCACATTCTAATGATATTAAATATCCTTAGGGAGTGAAAGAGACGTGAGGAGGGGTGTTTAAGCTAGTGTTCAATATTTAATGATTAGCTTCGTGAGAGCTAATGTTCTTGTCTTAGTTGAAAAATGAAAGCAGATGGCATATATTCAATGACTGTTAATAGTTAAAAGATTGTCTTTCGTACTAGTTCAACTTGTGCATGGAGCCTACGGTCTTCTTCCAATGGATTGGATACGTAGCATCGCAATTGCTGAGCCATTACTCGTCCCAGATCTCATAGTCTTCTTCCTGAATAGTCTCCACAGACGCAGCCAGCGTCTTCAACGAATCCGCAATGTGACCTTCCTCTCGCTTAGAATACCATTCACCATGGGGATAGTCCTCATCCTGGATAGCCTCGACAGAAGCTGCAAGGGTCTTAAGAGATTCCACTAAGTCCCGGCTCTTCAAGGCTCGGGCGTTATCAACACTGCGCTTCATGGAAGCAGCGTCTTTGACTAGGATCAAGGTTAGGATTCTTATATGTTTACGGGGCTAATAGGTCGTCTCACGAGGCGCGGGGATGGCGCCGGCTGCAGAGAGCGTAGCCACAATGGAGAGAATGATTCCGAAACGCATAATGTAGGAATTTCGAGGTGTTAATAGGCTATGAAAAGAGCCTTTGAGAAGAATTATTAGTATTGCTGATTAGGTTCCTACAGACTTTCGTCCTGGACAGATAAGGGGTGACAGGAGGTCCAACTTATAGTCGAAGCAGGACACGTATCCAACCTATGAAGCTATGTTTTCCAGCATGGGAAACGCCTCTGGCAACCCACAAATATCCACGAGTCAACTTATCATAACCCCTGACTAGTTTACTTTCTGCTGATACTGACGATATCACAGCTACGTTGGTTCCAGAGTTCGCGGTTCTACTTGAAAAGACTAGCATCGTGATTCAGTGATTCAGTCCAATCATTAAGTTGAAACCCAAGATTCATTCGAATAATAATTCCTATTTAGTCTAGTCATGATTATTCTTTTGGAATTCGTTGGATTCGCCGTAAGCATTGATTATGCAGTGCAACTATCACAGTTCACGAGATATTGGTATTGATGTTAGCGGGACTTGTTTGCAAAAGCTTTCTCGATCACGCGGAAATAGAAGGTATTGAGTGCTTCCGGTATGTCTGCTTCAACCATCATCTCAAGGTTGCACATGTATGCATTGTGCTTCTTACAGATTGAATAGGCTATACCTCGTATAGGTAACTTACCTTCCCCTTCGACCATGGATCAGCACGCGGAGACCACTATGACTATCTGACGACATGCATATGGCTATGTAGTGAAACAACGATTTAATAAACGTTAGGCTATCTCAGATAGCTTCCTTAGAATAGCTGTCAGGCCGTGCCGTGCTACGTGGAGCTAATCTGGCCCCAATGAACGGACATTCTCACTTTCACTTGCTCTCTTTTCTCTTGCGCGCTGTATAGTTAATGCACATTCCTCAAAACCGAGAGTGTGTACGATTGTTGTTGTGCCGGAGGTGCCACCGTTATGTGAGTCCTGGCCTCCTCATCATTACACGGTTGTGTTCGACGCCTCAAGCGTCTCTGTCTTTGTCATTTCATCCACCTCGCTTGATTTCAATTTCTTGAATTCCTATGTTACTCTCATGCTCCCGTGGAGACCTTCGTTACTATTGCCTTCTTCTACAATCACAATCTGCGCAAAACATGGAGTCATCCATGGACATTGAGAAGTCATCGTCGGAGACCGATTTCTGGATAGGAGACGGCCCCAATGATGTCCATGTCATTCCACGGAGGCAGACTCCGTGGTGCACGAAGCCCGTAACCACTCTGGGTCTCATGTTAACCATCGAGACCATAGTAATGGCCGTGTTATTTGTAAATAATGGAACACACGCTTGTGCAGACCCCTCTTTAGCCTTATGGTGTAAGTCGCGATATGCCATTGCCCCAAGTTTTCTGCCTTTGCTGATGTTGTCAAGCTCCCGCAAATGATGTCGTCCGCTATAAGACGACTACATTTGAAGCTCATTTCATGCACCGTAGTCCCTGGCTTGGAACAGAGATAGAAATCATTGAACAGAGGTGGCGCAATCTCTATGACTGTAAGCTGCCTCTCCAGTTTCAATCTACTATGGATTTCACTGATGTGAGCTAGTTGGCACTTCCGGACTCACGGCTTCCGAAGCAAGCAAGTTGCTAAACGCGACTCTTCCATCTCCAATGAATCCTGATGTGTATCTTGTCGAGCTTCAAGTCTTCCACGATCTTCACTGTCTCAATATGATTCGGAAAGCAGTCTATCTCGACCATTATCCCGACATGCTAGAAAAGAACCCCGATGGAACAATTTATCGTGGATCAACAAATGCCTTACACCTTGGTCTGTCCAATCTTTTGTGCTGATATAGTTGATTCGATGCTAACAAGACTCAAGATCATTGTATTGATTCTCTGCGGCAAACATTAATGTGTAATGCGGACGTCACGCCGGTGCGATTCCATCACAACATTGGAGATTTGCATCACATATTTCCAGCGATTTATTCGACGCATACTTGCCGAGACTACGAGGCCATAACTTCATGGGCGAAAAAGAGGCAGGTTCCAGCTTGGATGTTGGACTTCGCAGATAAGCAGCCTAAATGATGGCGTTAATGCTGATTAGCTGCTAAGTAGGAGAACTGATAAATAAACTGCGAAGAAAACAGAAAACCCTCTGAAGTGAGAAGCCGAGATGGCATAGCATATAGCTTTTGTGGCTGACAACACTTCACTTCATCTGGATGGGAACCACTGAAGAGGAATTTCTTTATTGTTTACTATGTGTATCGTTTTGAAGGTTGACACAATCGCGGGCGTATATCATTCTAGTTCTGTATGCGAATCATTGCCTAAAAACTAAACACATCCTAACAAAAACTATTCACCCAGTGTATTTTGTGAACCTTCACACTGTTCCTGCAAATGTGTTGAGAGATCTAGAAACGATCAATTGATTTAGAGTGGCCCAAGAACGGATGGCTAATGTTCATCAGATATTGTATGAAGCCGGTTCCTCGCCATCAATGCCGTTGTGGTTGAAGAAAGCCTATTCCCTGCATGTAAGCAATCGGCAATCACACCGTAAAGCTTAGCAAAAAGCTTGGTAGCGGATTGCATTACAGGGCACATACCGTTCCATTATACTGCTGACGTGTGTTCTGATATCCGAAGCAAGGACATGGCCCGATTACTCGCATCTGGGGTGTGTAGCACTGAAAACGATGCCCTCGCCGCCAAGATTATGAGCGAAGTCTCGACAAGAGCTCCCGCAGTTTGAAGCAACACTTATGTCCACAAAGAAATTCTATAGACATTTGGACCACGATCATCTTTTCCACAAAACCCGCGAGTCCTCGCAAGTATCAACATCTTCCAATATCCTCCTTTATTGCTCTCGCCGTATAGCGCATACATGGCCAGGGAATCCCTATATTCGCAAATTTCATCTAGAGACAGCATAGATGATGTGAGCGAGGGAAACGTTCCCAAAACCAAAACAAGTATTTACTCAGGACTAAAGCACAATGTGCTAAAACTCTTCTTGCTTTCCATCGTTTGCAATTTTATCCTTCTTGCCGTACTTGGCATGGCAATTGCAAAATACCCAGTTCTGAGATCATCATCTATATCAAATAACGAAAACCCCTTCCATCGGATACAGAACTCTACTGTCAATGCCAACTACGCTAGCCTGAGCAAGGACACAGATTATCTATGGGAGCCCTGGCATTGGTCGAAGGCTTTCATGGTTGAACTTGACGGCGAGATGGCAGCAATCGCAATGTCGGTGCACACTACGAGGCTATGGGCCACGTCCCGCTGACATGATACAGGTTTCACCAGCTCCAGTGCCTGTCCACTCTCCGGTTTACTATCCAAGAGGTAGTCTCGGGCAAGCAGCCCGAGGCGGATCGGGAGAAGCCTGATAATTGGGCTTACTGTCTGGATTATCTGCGTCAGGTATGTTCGAGCCTCTCCCTGAGATGAACAGGATATTGGTTGATGAAATCTATCAACAGTCCATCGTCTGCTTTGCCGATCCGACCCAGGAAAGACAAGTGGCTCTTGCCACTGTGCGTGACCTACCAATCGCCGGCTCGGACTTGGACACTGTGCGTTTGTGCAGGGATCCAGAGCCACTGTGGCGGCTGAAGCATGAACATGGGTTCGGACTTGGTGGTAGTCGAATGGATATCGAAGAGGGTATGAGGAGGACTTGAAATTTTCACGATCCCTTGGTGGATAATGAAATATATTACTTTACGAGTGGCTGGACTTGTTCGATGCTGACGACTGCTTTGGATTGATTGAACTGGCAAAGCACTCGCTAATACCAAAACAATGCCAGCTGTCAATTCTTTGTTCCCATAGTTAAGCGCCAACGTCTAGTTAAAACAAAAGTTGTGACATCGGATGCCTCCTCCTCGATGCCATCAATGCACTCCACCCCCTGCCACTTCTCGCCAGGTTGAGAGATCTAAAAGGCTTAGCACTACAGATGTAGATCCGATTCTGGCTCCAGAAATACGCTCAGATCGCAGAAGTTGCGCTTGTGTACTGCGACACTTCGCACTATATCTCTTCAATCCAAAATGTTTCCGTATTGAGGTAAAACCTCCTCCACATGTTCGAGCAAAGTTTCTCCAATTCTATCTGTGGCGTGTATCATGACGCTGAGAAGCATGTGACGCCCGTATAACTGTTGGACCCTGTTGGAAGGGATTGAATAATTCGAGCCTCGCAATAATACTGGAGATAGATCAGCCGGTGTCTTGGTTCCATTTTTGGCATATGAAATCATAGTACATTACCTTTAGTCACTGTATCACTGTACGTGCATCAATAGAGCATCTTAGATCTAATAAATGTGCTGCCTGCGGCTATGCTCTCCCTAGTCTCTCGCTTGGCAGTGGAAATAGCGTCTACAGTGCAACCTCGGACTTCACTCGGATCCCTGACAACCCACTTCGCTTTAACGTACCCGTCGCTACAGATCACTCCAAGATCTGCCCTTGCACAGCCTTGCAGGATTACAAGAGGATGTTACTGATTAGGTGGGTGTTGAAAAAGTTGTCAACCATGCTAACAACTATTGGTGAGTGACCCCGCACTTATTGTTAGAGGTATTGAGATCTATTTGGGATCCCACCTCCTAATAGAACAATCATAGATTTAGTTTTGTCGCATTCAAACTGTTGTCCGAATATGAGCCGCACCATCATCAACTTTCCTATCATGGCTGCCTGTGAGGAGTTCATGAACGGACCGAGAGACGCAGAAGCCTTGAGCTGACATGAGCTGATGTTCAAAAACAGAACTGGTTCGAAGAATACTGGGAACCTGGCCGAGTATATAATGCAACAAGCGACACGATCTCGATGGCGTTCTGATTTATCCACAACACCCCAGTATCAACGAGAAAATCAAGCCTTATTTCCTCTATCTATCCGCCTCGTAAACACAAAACTCAGGGAAAACAAGTCTTTGTTCAAAATACTGTTTCCATCGACATGATGCTGGCACTTCTTTTCTGCGGATTTGTGCTCCAAGCCAGTCTTCTAGCTGCCCAGGAGCTTACAATCAACTGTAGATCGTGGGGGCTCGAGAACGGCTATCAGGGAGTCGACAACTGGCGGGCCTCGACCAAGGACTGCGCAGACGCCACGAACAAGCTCGAAAGCCAATTCGGCCAGATTGTCCCAACCATCTCAAACGGCTGCAGCGAGCTTGCTTCGTCTGGCAGTTGCTCCATCTCCATCTGTGATTCCTCTCTCGCGACCTTTCAGAGCGTCTACTATCAGGCAGTCTGGGCAGCTGCCAGAGTCGTTCACGGCAGGCATAAACACGACGGCACTGTAGCAGGGTATGTGTCCATTGACGACTACTGGTACGGCGGCAAGGCGTTTGTCCAGGTGGCCAGAACCGGCTCCCCGGACCCGGGCAACAAGAGACGCAGTCTGGCCGCACGCCGAGGAGTTGCAGAAGGCCAAAGGGCTGGCGGAAACGAGACCGAGGGCGGCGGCAATGGTGGAGATGACGAGGAATTGATCTGGCCCCGCGTCGAGCTAGAGTACTCCAGCTTCGACTCGGTCGACGTTCCCAACACGGACGGATTGTCGGTCAATATCCGCGCAGGATGGGGTGAAGGGGAGTGGACGCCGCGTGACCAGCAAGAGTACGCGCAAGAGAGGCTCGTCGAGGCATGGCGAGGCACCACCGGAGAGCCCGGCGACGTCCGGCCGGCTGGATACCTTGCGCCCGGTGGCATCATGATCGAGATGGAGCTTGTCGCCCACAACAATCACAACCTGCGCCAGCTCCACGAGAACGAGATCAATCCGCTCGCCCGCTTTGCCATTGATCAGCGCGGGATAGCAGGCAATCCGAACTCGTTCATCATGCAGATCCGTCGTGGCGGCGAAAGCATTGCCCATATGGTGCTCCGCGTTTTTCGACTGACTGTAAGCACCGACCCCAATGGTGCTTGCGGTTATCCTTGATTCTGCGAGTCAGGCACGTAATTTCATAAGGAGTAAAAGATTTCCCCCCCCCTTTTTTTTTTCCTTTCTTTTGGTATGCTTTGCTTTTAGATAGTTGACATTTTAAACTCACTAGGGGGTTCTGACCTGATGATGCTCATGTGGTGCGGTTCTCATCAGGGCCCCTAGAGCCCGCGAGAAGTGTCAAACTTGGATAGGGAAAGAAAATAATAAAGACGAGAGATTTGAGTCGTCGAAATAATATCTCCTCGCGTAGAAAGAGAAACATCGATCCTTGTGATATTTTTGAAAGGTGTTGCTGATCAGAATATTTTGCCACGACTTAAATAGATGCTAAGATCCATTCACGACCTATGTAGCTGGGACCTTCAAAGTTGCTTGAATTGACCTAGAGCTCCAAAATCCAGGTTGACCGTAGACACTGTCGCCATTTGCTGAGATCAGGAAGTGGAGGTGTCTCTTTCATCTGCATACCTGCTCAACCTCAATCTATATCGTCTACCTGGTCGATGTCAATGATGGCGGTCATAAATTAGCTGTACGAGGAAGATGAGGGGCATGCAGAGTAACACGGCAGGTTCGCATGTAGGTACATGAGTTAATGGGTATATGTGTGAGTACAAGCAGGAGCACTACGTTACTTTACTTGAGATTGAATTCCTTGTATGAGCGATCTGAGGTGCAAATGAATGAAGATGGGTGCGGGGCGCTTGCGATGTTGCCTTGGGCAAGTTATTGACTTGGGTTTTGGTGTGCGAACTGCTTCTGTATTACCTTATCTAGGCGCGGTGCCGCCTGAATCTCAGGCCCTCTGCACCCCTCACACGCCTGAATCCCCTCGCTAATCCCACCCGCCTGAATTTCACGCGCTTGAATCCCCCACTCCAGAGTCCCGTCCCCGAATCCTAGTCGCTCTATCAATTACATTAAACTGACTCTGCGTTGTGTTACTCTGTGCTTTACTATGACTTTGAGCATCTCGCCAAATATTACCAAAGACAAGGATCAATTGAAAGTATGCTTTTTATTTTAGAAAGAATGCATCAATACCACAGATCGGCAACGACTGTCAGCCCTACAAGATGTCGCCAACTCCTTTCCCACGTCCCAGCACATGCAGGCAGGTGACTCTAGCATGTTGAAGCTCAGCAGTACCTGGAAAACAGCGCCAGGCAGATATGCCAACTCCCATAAGAAGTGAATTTTGCAAAAGATTACATTTTCTACAGTATAAGTCAGCTGCCAAGCCAGTTGTAGACAAGGGACCTGGCTCACGTTTTCATTCTGCAGGATCAATCCATTGTTATGGTTCGGGACGGGAGCGCATTCCGGGCATCGATGAGTATAGCAATTACGTAAAGGTACCATTACTCAGCATAATCCGCGTTATCTGCAGCAGAATTAGGGCAAAGTGGAATAAAGTGGCTTTAAAGAGCAAAATCACAGCAGACTGAAGACGAAGCCCTCGACCTAGCATTCAGGCCTTCCGATCTTCCAGCAACGCACCCCAATGATCTCGGCCGTGGGATGCCCGATACCGGACACTTTGTCGACCACTATGAGGCTCTCGGTATTAGCCAATTCGCCTCAGCGCAAGAAATCAAGGCTGCGTACCATAAGCTGAGCCTCCGATATCATCCAGATAAGAATGGAGGCACGCAAGATGCGCACGCAAGATTTGTTCTCATTAGAGATGCATATGAAGTTTTGAAAGATGAAAACACCAGGGCAGACTACGATGACCAATACAGAGTGCGAAAATCCAAATTTGAGCGGGTCGATGAGCATAATGACTTCTGGGCAACGATGGCCAGGAAACACCCTAACACACCTAACTTTGGAAGTTCCCACAAGAAGGCCAAAAAGTCTAAGAAGTCCAAGAACGAGCCAGAGCCCATCCCGTCTCCTCTCACCGACCGAGTAGATGGCATGCGGTACTTGGAAGCCAAGGACGGTCTTGACAAGATAACTACCTCTATCACAGTGATGAGATCTACGATAGATGATATTGCAAAGCGTCTCAAAATTGACAGCCTGGATCCAGAATCTCAAACAGGCTATAACATCTGGAGAAGCCAGAACAACACTATCGAGTTGGGGAAGCGAGTGCGGGACTTGCGAGGATTCATGGCAACACATTCGCTAGAGACTTGGAAGGCCAGGAACGACATGGAAATGGTGCAAAAAATCAGAGAGACCTCGAGGATTGTGGGCAATCTCATCATTCACCTACGGCCGTTGCAAGACCTGGCAGCCAAGATCGAGATCTGCTCAAGCCCTCTGCCACCTAATATACTGCTGGAGCTGGATATCGACATAGCGAAGTGGGCGGAAGAGATGAGCGAAGTCATCAACTCATGATTAAAGCTAATCAATTGTTCAATTCGAAAGCCAATGCTTGGCAAATATAGCCGAAATCTAGCCTTATTCCGCATCAGGTAATTATGTGCTTTGTGAGTCAGCATGGCACGCGCCTCTCATCATATCATCATGATACTCGGGATTGTGCAACGCAATCGAACGCCATGCCTTGAGAACTGCGCAGAATATTATCAGAACTGTTATTTGATACCGAGGTTGATTCGTTTCTTGCACATCACCTGCTTAGGTTAATGCTTTGACGTTATGTGAATGGATTGTATCGGACGCGGAGCGCAGCGAGTCAGGAGGAGCCGCGGGATCATTAATCAAATGCCATTGGCAATTAAGTGCGAGACGCGCTAATTGATAAGCATGCGGTGCTTTTGGACCTCACTACTGCAGGCGCTTGCTGGCCCTAGATGATGCACCATAGCATACCTAGCATGCTGCTGACTAGTGTTCAAGAATTGCAAATGCATCATCATTTCAAGATTAGATGGCCAGGATGACATCTCTACAGATGGGAAATCGATAATATAAATATGTAGAAACATTCATAAGGTACATTGATCCATCATATGTGTACATAAAGTAGGCTATAGCCCAGGCTGGACATTTCTTGAAGATTAGCTCACCGCACACCTCACTCGAAAGGCCACACTGTTCTGCGCATATCTTTATTCTAAAAATGTCAGTCGATATCAAAGGGACCGTACTCGTCACTGGTGCAAACGGCTACATCGCCGGTCGCGTCATCGAAGCCTTTCTTCTAGCGGGCTACCATGTCCGTGGTACCGTGCGCTCCGCATCGTCGGTCAAGGCTTTGATCAGCGCTTTGGAAAATTATCATAACAACTTCGATGTTGTTGAGGTGCCAGACATCACAGCTTCCGGTGCATTTGATGAAGCTGTGAAAGGAGTGGACGCAGTTGCTCACCTCGCTGCTCCCGTTTCTTTATCCTTCGATGACCCAGACCCTGTCATCAAGGCTGCTGTCGAAGGCACGACTAGTATATTGGACTCTGCCATTCGAGAACCATCCATTAAGAGTGTCTTGCTGATGAGCTCGATTGCCACCATCATTGGAATTAGGGAGGAAGACTATAATTATACTGAGAAGGACTGGAACACTTGGGTCGAAGGTTTACTCCAGAAGCTCGGCAAAAACGCGCCGGGTAACGTAATCTATGCAGCTGAAAAGACGCTGGCGGAGAAGGCGTTCTGGCAATTCAGAGACGAGAAGAAGCCTACCTTCGCGATGACTTCGATCAATCCTGTGTTTGTGTGATCCTGTCTCAGAGCCATTGAAGCATTCTACTGAACAGGTCTTTATTAGGTTCGTCGCTGGGCCGCCCCTCATCGCACCATCATCTCCAGAGAAAATCAACGAGACAACGAGGTTTGTATGGAACGTTCTGACTGGGAAGGACCTTGCAAATGCAGGGCTTGGTACGGCCTATCCTGGCTATGTGGACGTGCGTGATGTCGGACGCATGTTTGTCTTCGCCGTTGATCATCCTGACATTACTAACGGGGAGCGTTACCTTGGCTCCGCTGGATATGGACCACCACAAGCCGTGGCTGACATTCTTCGCAAAGCCTATCCAGATCGAAAAGATATTATCCAGGAAGGCAACCCAGGCACGGGTTACTTTCCGGACTACAGATACCCGGCAAAAGTGTCGTGGGATGGCAGTAAAACTACAAATGTCATGGGCTTGAAGTATATCCCCTTCGATCAGATTGTTTTGGACACGGCCAGGGTGTTTGAAGCATTTCTCTGAAATGACTTGTTTAGAAAATGTAGAGTGCGCAATTGAGCTTCATTGAAATAAGAACATAATTTTTTTTGTCGAAAGCTTTAATGGTTTTCTCCAGAAACTAGCTCGATTACGATGACCGATGTTGATGAAGTCTTATTCTCAGGAGACTCGATTTGGCTAGCGGACTTACATGGGGGAGCAATCTTGTCATACTTAACTGGCACGTATGGCGCATTAAGCTGCTTATTTTGAGCCTACGCTTAATTGGAACAATACTTTAGCGGCCTCCACCACTGTCTCCTCCAGTGTTCTCCATCTCATACCGAGTTGCTGCTCAGCTTTGCTACAGTCATTGATAAAAGATGGCCGCAATGGCAATCCCTCATCTTCAATTTGAGGAAACATGTGTGCCTGTTCGGGGAAGTTTTTTCGCAAAAGTGCGAAAATCCTGGCATAAGAATAACTGCCGGAGACCTGTCAAACGCAGTGTCGTTGTCAGCCCCTGAGACGAAGACGAGATAGACGAGCGAGCTTACAATCATATATCGCTCACCGCCACACTTGGGCCATGTCAACGCCTTCAGGTGTGCTTCAGCAACGTCCAGCATGTTGGAAAATACCTAAAGATAAACGAAAAGAATATGTAAGCCACCATGCACTCTGAGACGATGAATATTGATAATTAGGGCTCAATAAGGGTACTCGTACCGGACTTGGATCGCCCGGGATGATGTCTTTTGCATGGGTGATATGACTCCACAACCTGGCACTTGCAGCATCAAGATCCTCCAGGCTGTTTAAGACTTGCATTGGTTTTCCATAAACGGTTCCTGGGCATAGAACAACTAGATCGAATGCGGGCTTCTGCTCCTTCATGAAGTCCCAAGCAAGCTTCTCAGCAATAGTCTTGCCGGCACCTGTGGTCCATTTAGCTGAGATCTCATCTTCGACTTCGATGTATAAACCTTGAACACCTGAAATGAATTCGACTTACAGTAACTCGTCACTGCCATATGCTGACCCGTGGCACTCGCACCCTTCTCCCAAGTTGTGGGATTCCAATCCTTCTCGGTGTACCTGAGATCATATGTCAGCATAGTTTGCGCTCATGAAAGCAATTGTACATACACCTTGCCTAGCCCTGTACCCAGATGCGGATCGTCGTTGACTGCTGCGACGGTGCTCGTGTATACCAAACGCTTAACGCTTGACTCTCTTGCGCAAGCCGAAAGAATATTTTGAACGCCACGCGTTTGCGGAATCATGATGTCTTCTCCGGTCTGGATGTTCAATTTCAATGTAAGATTTACCGTACTTTTCTCAGGCGATAGTTTCCTTCACTGGTTGTTTGACTTACGGCATGTGAAAGCGTGTAGGGTCCAGCAACGTGAATCACGGCACCACACCCACGTACCGCTCCATCGTACGGACCCGTTTTCGCTTCAATATTTGCTGCTGCATGATCTTCAATAATGGTCCACTCTATCTGAACCTCTGGATACTTGGCGCTCCAGTCTGCAGCTCGTTGCGAAGATCTACTTGTCCCACGGAGCAGAAAGCCGGCACGAGCAACATCAAGAGCAATAGCTGTCTGCTCTCCTTTCTTTTGTCAGTAAAGCTATGAGAATAATTGAATTGTCCACGAATACTAACGCCGAGAGGCCCTGTGGTGCCGGTGACGAGCACTGTGGGTGTGGGTGTTTGCAGAGGCATGACGACTTGTTACTAAACTATGCTTATCAACTCTGAACCAGCTTTAATGTCGTGAAAAGAGAAGGCATGCGACAAACACAGATAAAATCCCAGTCTGAATTTTGAATCTAAAAAGATACTATAGTGTGCAGGTCCGCAAACTACCCAGCTGTTGCACCGTATCTTAGACTGTTGTATCGAGCGGAAGGAATGCATAGAATCACGGCATCTTCTGATTGCCGGAAAATCCAACCGATTGGCTTGTAAATGTGATTGATGCTCAAGGTGGATCCAGTTACTCATGATTCGCCGCCCTCTCGGCACGGCCATGATCCTGATCTGCGGGTTCGTGAAGCCGGTCCGGGAATGCTGAGAAGGCTTTGGAAGTGGATAGGGGCTAGCCCATTCCTTAGCGTATATTGTTGTGTGTTATCTGAAGCTAATCAATTACATTGACACAGTCGCTCGGAGACATCTCTTCAATACATCCTAAACAAACGGTCAGCCTCTATTGCATTGGATAGGCCTGCAAGCGAAAAGGCAATGCATTCAGTGATGGTGAAATAAGTTGGTCTAGTTAGTCACAGCTACTAACGAACGGCAAAAATGAGCGTGCTACCTCAAGTTAGACGCATGCATTCTTTGCCATTAAGTGACTGGTCTCCAGCATCATCTAGTACATTGATATATTGTCTGTAATAGGTACTACGCTGATGGTGCGTGGACCCTGCTATAGTGCCTTTGCCTTCAATGCGTCATCCACAACACGGGCAAGCCCTAGACACTCTTCTTCTCTCCATCTTTTCCCGACAACCTGAATCCCGACAGGAGCATCTTGAAATTTGCCTGGTCCATCATACATCGTGTACACTATTCTGTCTGTTTCGCTACGCGGCTTGTAGTCTTGATCTGGGACGTCAATGTTTTGGTCGACCATCGTCACAGGAATGGCGACACTAGGAAGATCTAGTACATTCCAGACACAAGTGTAACCAGCATAGACGTATTGACCATGTGGAGGAGCAGGAAACGGTGCCACCGGACATATGATTCCATCAAGCGGCCGGCCTGTTGTTGTCTGACTGACGGTTGCTCGCAACTCATCAAGGTAACGCTTGCGCTGATTGAAGTTAGTACAGCTGTAAGTCAAAGGAGACTCAAGAAGCACAAACATAACTCTCGCGTTCTAAACAAAGCTGCCAGTAAGCATTGACAGTGATAGGAGGAAACGCCGAAACATCATCTATTCCTGGAAGCAGGGGCTGTTTTCACATCAATAATAGTACTTGTAAGAAGAATCATGAGTGGCAAGCCTCACCTCGCCGGATTCACTGAACAGGCGTTTGAATTCCTCGCCACTATCTGAGGCAAATGTGCGTTGTAAGATGGATATGGCATACCCATGATCAAGCGGGTTCCACGGGATTACTATGAACATCGATTAATCCGAAGGAAATAGAAACAGCCTTGGGTTACATACCTTCATGTCCAGCTTCTTTTAAAGCTTCTATGGTCTCCCTCATAGCTCTTCTTACCGGTGGCTGGCATCTTACAACTCCGTCGTCATCGAAGTATCCAAAACACATCCTCGCGTTTGGTGCTCCTTTGTGTTCCAGCTGGTACATGTTTTCTCTCCATGGAATTTCGACGGCTTTAGGATCTAGATTCCAAGGTTCGCCATCGATTACCGCTTTGAACAAAGTTTTGCATCCGGAGAGTGTCCTGCTCAGTGGGCCAATTGAGCTCTCTATTGATTCTTGCCCAAGTAGTGTGTTGGATGCACCCCAGTAAGGCATACGGCGCATCGTGGGTCGGAGACCATAGAGTGCGTTCAGTGACGCTGGGTTGCGGATCGACCCTCCCAACTATACCATAAACGCATTGTCAGGAAAGGTAATAGTGAATCTAAAGCCAACTTTGAAAACACTCACGTCAGTCCCGACACCAAGTGGGCTGCCTTTCAAAGCCAACAGAGCTGCTTCTCCACCACTACTACCACCGCAGGTCAATGTTCTGTTTCGAGGATTGACTGTGCGACCATAAACACTGTATCTCTTTGTCAGAGAAGGTATTAAATGCACAAAAATGTGTCACCTTACTGGTTTATCTGCTTCAAGTTAGCTTTATCTGATGTGGTCGAAGTAAAGTCCCTATTGTCTCACCGTCTCAGGCATCATGATGGTCATGGGCACATTTGTACCTGACGGAATTAGCTTCGGTCCAAACTATGCGCAATATCAGAAAGGATTGCTGTTCTTACGGGTATATATCACGGCGCCAGCTTGCCGTAAGATTGATACAAGCGCGGCGTCGTGCTTACAGATCCTACCTAGCCAGCTCGCAAGGCCCATATTGTTTTCTCTATCTGCGACGTCGAATCTTCAAATGGTCAGTAATCTTGGCTATTCGGTCGTGAAACCATGAAATGAAAATGCGTACTGATCTTTTAGTGAGATTGGGAGGCCGTGGAGCGGTCCGACAGGTCCACTCTTCACCAGGGCATCGTCGAGCTCTTGCGCGCGGGAGAGGGCATCATTGATCCAGAACTCGGTAAGACAATTTGTCTGTAGGTCAGAGAAGTCAAATTTATTGTTATAGAAGTCTACTTACCAATTGATGAGCGATGATTGCTCTCTTGCAGTACGCTGTTGTAACAGCCACTGCAGACCACACGCCATGAGCAAGCTTTAAGAGGAGTTCATCGACATCATCTAATTCCGTGATTTCTTCTTCTAGTGGTGTCAAAATTCCATAGCTGGTTGGCAAAGACAACACGTTTAGCACATCTTGTGGTGGCTGATCTATAAGCCATTGTGTAGGTATCTTTGAGTGCTGTTCAGCTTTCTTATCTTGGCATTTGATAGCAAGTGCTTCAGGTAGAGACATAATGGCGAGTTACTCCTGGTTACGGAGCATTGCTGAGGAGATGAATCCAATAAGCAAATGTTGAACTTATCTTGAGTGGCAACTTGTTCCTGTACTAACCCCGTTCCCGAAGAATTGGTACGGCCTATTGCAGATCAAGAAGCCGTGGCCCAGCATCATTAGTCTCGGATACTTATCTTCTTGTAGGTGGATCAACTTACCTAACTAATCTGTCAGTCATTGGACAATTTTAAAATGTGATTGCCTGACTACAAGCAATTAGAGGTTGCAATGTGTACGGGCTTTTGCATTCATATTTAGATATTGTTATTTGAAACAAACCCAGGTTATAGTACTTAAAAATATTTGGATCATGACGATAGTTCTTTATACACCCATTTTTGAATAGCCTGCCATGCTTTCTCCCCCCTTTGATTGCTCGTGGTATTTACATTGGTGCGATTGAAGTAGCCAACGCTGTTCGGCCCAAAAGCTGTTTACCATTCGCGAACTTTCAAGTAACACGTAGACTCCTGCAAAGGATATAGTGACCCGCTTACACTCTCCATGCCTATAATAAAGATGGTTAGAACAAAATGAGAATGGGTTATACTCGAGAGAACTCACAGTTCTCGATATCGGCAACTCCAGGATAAACACCCTTCCTACGTGTTCCGTCTAAGTCAATGATGTCGCAGGTGTGCTCTGGGTTTTCGATGCGGTTTCCTAGTTCTAGGTCATCTGCTTCCGGAGAAAGTTTCTCGTGCATACAGAGACTAGACTCGTCAAAGTCGAAGTTTCTGATGAGATGAGACATGAGAAGTTCCAACTCAGCCATGGCAAAATGGCGTCCGGGACAAGCTGATTAACCATTAACTTAGATATATCGAGAGTAGCATCATCGTCAATCACGTACCAGATACGCCGCCCCCGAAGAAAAGCTCCTCTCGGTAGAGTGTTTCATTTTTCAAGAACCTGTCACCTTGGAAACAATCCGCATTGTCGCCCCAGATGGCCGGGTCAAACGACGACGCACGGCTCATGATCCTGATAAGAGATCCTTTAGGGAAAACAGTATCGCACCCCTGGAGCTTAACATCTTCAGTAGCTGTTCGTCCTGCAAAGACAGCAGTCGACAGACGCAGCGTTTCGTGAATGGCAGAATACAACAATGGTGTCTCGCGCCTGAAGTCCGTGCCCACAAGAGAATCGGCTGGCAAGGCGTCAACTTCGGCCTTGATTGCGGCCCAGAGCTTTGGTGATTGAAAGAGATAGAGAAATGCCCAGCCTGGTTGTTCACCCTACACCTTGCGTTAGCATAATGGCATGTGCTTATTTACAGATTATCACAGGGTTACTCACTGTATTGCCTTGGAAGCCGAACAACTGTGCGTATGTCAGAGATGAATACAAGGTGAAAATAAAGGTACTAAACTCACAACCATGTTTACCCATCGATTAGCGTGAACAATGTCGACATTCTGATCAATGACAACTTGCATCATGTTTCTCCATGTTTGAGAGCATGTTTCCAATCCACCGCTCTTTTGCCACTGGATCAATGCATTTGTGACCTGGTCCCTGGCCTTGGCGCCTTTCCGAGCGGAGGGGATGATTTTATTCCACCACTCTGTTGGCAGCAGTGGCAGAGAGGGAGTGGTGTTCAGAGCTCGAAGATTCACAGCAAAGTTCTGGAGAGCGACACGCGTTTCTCTGACAGGCAGATCTGGTCCATAGATAGCCTTGAGATTTCCTGCATATGCAAGTCGGTAGAATGTTGAGTGAAAGGGAACCAGTCGACCTTTTGTGCCGATTTCTGTCCGAAGCACAGCGATATCCTTCAAAAGCGTGGTCTCAAACGTCTTTGAGACCGGTCCAAGATTCTTTGCGGATAGCTCTCTGTGGATTTGCTTTGCTGCTTCGCGAAGCGTCTCCTTGTATGCAAGTCTTCTACATGTTAGTGTACCACTCCCTACGGCATACAATGCAGGTTCATCAACACTCACGGCGGGACACCCCAAACTTTGTAATGAAGTCGGCGAGCGAGAGCAAATGCGTCGAGCATAGGAGAACGGGCGAACAGTTTTCGCATTGGTTCATGGTCCAATAGGTAGTATGTTGTTTCGCTTGCCCATGGCACTGGCAGTCGCATGTACAAAACACGATGTTTCAAGCTCGGCGAGCGTTTGTAAAATTCGTTATGATTGCGGTCTGATATTTAACAACATAATAATTAGCACGTTTTCAAGTAATATATGAACAGGGTGAACTACAGAATTCTTTGTAATTTGTTGTGTGAATGAATGTCGTAACAATGCGAAGTACGGCTGATACTGCCACAGTAGCCAGCAGCACCACTGCGGCACGCCGAAAAGCCTCACTGTTCAAAATCTCTGTAGTCAGAAATGCCATTTTGACCAGCGTGTAATTGACAAAAGGATAGGAGATCTTGCCGTCTGTCAAAGACATTTGGCGAATAGATACTTGCTGCCATATGTCAAGTGAAATATTGCCTTCTACCTTTCCTTCGAGAATTCTGGCCTGAGGCACAATTCTAACACGGCTTATAACGGCATCTTGCCGGCTTCATACAAACACCTGGAGATGCCATTGTGTGGACCAGATGAGCACTGACAGCCTATCATAGTGCGCTGCCTTGACTCGGGAAGATCCACCTCTTAGCCGTCCGGTGTCTTGGGTACTACCGATTATCGTTTTTGGATATCGCCAAAGAGTGTGATTGGTTACGATTCAGCCACTGATATCGATGTGGGCCTATAGGAGGTGTTCTTATCTTGCTAGTAAGAAAACCAATGATCTGCATCCTACTCACAACACTGCATACGTAGGGCATGGCACTTCTGCGGCTTCATGGGTGATGGACTTGAGATAACGATCAAGGACTTGTAGAACTAGGCATGGGAGGGCTGGTTGCGATTCTTTGGATAAAGACCCGATGTGCGCGAGCCAGCCTTGATGTTCCCACGATTCTTTAGATACTCACTTGCAAAGCCCCATCAATTCGAACACCAGAAGGGATATCTGAAGCGTTTATCGACAATGGAGACTCTGAAGAACGTGGTTGACAAGGTGGCACTGAGAGATGAGCATGGAAACCATGTTTCTATGTGGTACAACGAAGATGTATGTATGTCTGGGAAGACTTGTTAAAACCCTGTTGACAACCTTAGATTCGGCCAATGCCCCCTCACAGGCGTACCTGGACCGGTTGGACATACTTCAGCTACCAGAGTGGAGTTGGCATTATCATTGTTACATGGTCCACTGGAGCCTCTCTGCTTGGGCTCGGTTTGGTGAGCCGCTGGCTGAAGTCTCTTCTGCAATTCAAAACTGACCATTGCAGAACGCGTGGCAAGCCATCTTGGATATAATTATTGGCTACACCTGCGTTGGTATATTGACCATGTTGGGTTCTCAGATGTATGTCACCTGCTCTTCAGCCTTGAATCAATGATGGCAGTGCCCTAATCCTTGATGTAGTGGCGGAAAGTGGCACATTGGCTTTCCAGTTGCATCGCGATTCACCTGGGGCATGCGCGGCGCATTCTTTCCTGCATTGAACCGAGTGGTGCTGAACTGTGTCTGGTGGGCTACCGAGTCTTGGTTGGGCATGATGTGTAAGTACCTCACCTTATTTCATTACACGACATTGCTCTCTAATAACTTTTTTTCTGCAGGCGTCCGAACAACAATCGGAGCGATTTGGCCTTCCTTCTACAATATTCATAACACCTTTCCCGACTCAGTACCTATGGTAACTGGTGACTTCGTGGCTTGGTTCATCTTCGTGTTAATTTGCCTAGCGGGGGTGATGGTCAAGCCGGAAAAGTTCCATTGGCCGTCTGTGGCAACTGCAGCCGTCAATCTGGTCACCGCTTTAGCTCTCGTTGGGTGGTTCTCACACAGAGCTGGAGGCGCAGGTGTTCTTTTCAAGGACACACAAACCCTCACTGGAGTTGAACCCGCAAGAGGATCTAAATTTGGCTGGGCTTTCATCCATGGCATCACCACGGTCATTGCCAGTCAGTCGACCGGAATTCTTGGCTTTGCCGATTGGGGACGTTACGCGAAGCGCCCCGCATGTCAGCGATACCCTCAAGGTCTAGGAATGGGGTTGGCTGATATGATCTCGGTAAGGATCTATCACTCACCCTTACCTTTTACTTCAAGTTACTGATCAATAATCAACGTTCAGGGCATCATGGGGATCATTGCCGCCTCTTGTTGCGCTACAATTTATCCTGACGCAGGTCTTGTCTGGTACGTGTAGCTTTCGATTAGATTTTTTTCAAGATGGCCTGCTAACCCAATCTGCAACAGGAATCAGCCATTGTTGCTCACTGCCATCCAAGAACACGAATCATCGGCTGCACGTGCCGCGGTTTTCTTTGCCTCGGTGCCAATTCTTATGTCACAGGTCCTAATTACAGTGTCTGGCAGTAGTATTGCTGGTGGTAGTAAGTATTTCGTTTTTATTGCAGAACGGACTTTGCTAACGTGTCCGGTTCATTAGTTGACATGTCTGGGCTTTTGCCAAAGGTATACTATTATGAGCATCACTTTTTCTTCTCACTTATTCTAATGTTCGGGCAGTTCATTAACATCCGTCGTGGTGGCTATATTGTCATAATAATCGGTATTGGTACGTGACCCCTTTTGAGAAATGCTTTCAGCTGTCACTGACATGACAATAGCGATGCAGCCGTGGATACTTTCCAATACCGATAGCAAATTTCTGTCTGTCATGGGCTCTTATGCCATCTTCTTGGCACCTCTCAGTAAGCAAAATACCCTTCCATGTTAGCATCCCACACTGATCAGCGTTACAGCGGGTATTTTGCACTGTGAATACTATGTTATTCGCCGGCAGCGTCTTTCCCTCCAAGATCTTTATACTCCGAACTCATCATCATCATACTGGTACTTTCACGGCTTGAGCATGTAAGTCAAAGGCTTTAGAAGTGACCACCGTACTGTACGCTGGCTAACAAAGAGTATAGACGAACTCTTGTCAGCTTCTGTATTGGATTCTTTCCTTTCCTGCCGGGTTATATCCACAATATTACACCTTCGATCCATGTCTCAGAGGGTTGGAGTCAGTTGTTCTATATGGTAAGTCTTGACTTCTAGCCAACTACCGCTCTGAAACTAATATTTTGCTTCAGTGTTACCCATTAGGTTACTTTGGCACCGGAGCTGTACATTATGCTATTAGCTATTTCTTTCCGCCAAAAGAACTCGGTAAGGTCGATGAGCGTGATATCTACGGTACATTCGCACCCGGTGAGAAGACCCCGTTTGGGATACTCGTGGGAGTCCATCCTGAGGACATTGAGGCAGGTGGGAGTGACTCAGGCGACGGAGAGTCAGTGCCCCCTAAGTTGGCCAACGCTGAGGTCCAGGATGCTCGCAGTGCGTAATGAACACTGCTCATCATCGTGCTAGCGATACGTGACCTCATGCTTCCGAATCGAGTAAGAAGATGTAATTATATCAATCTGATATCAAGAACAGTAATTGGAGTGAAACGGTCTATAGGTAGAGAGCAAGATAGCTGATAATTGGGTTATTGGATGTACCATCTACCCTTATGGAATTTTAGTCGTACGCTCGTAGCCACTGCCGTAATACTTACTCCTTGCTCTGCTATCTCTGATTTGGATCCACTATTTGTGAAGTGTGACATCGCTATAACTGATAACAACCGGGCTAATGGACCGGACTGAGAGCACCGAGGAGCACTAGCGGCAATTGAGATAGCACTAGACCAATATGTAATCGCCTTTCTGCACGAGCAGATTTGCCTACTCTTGCCCACTTTCCCCCGCGACCTTCCACTGACGAAATTCATCTGCACTACAAGGGCTACCGGCGTACAGAAACGGTGGTGCAACAAGCCTGCAATTTTGGACCCTAACCTCGACTCCTTTCAGTGTTCTCGTGGATCATCACAGCTTCATGACGGTCCGTATCAAAGGCCAAATTCAGCTCCGATGATAGGGAGTCCCGATTCGAGCACTGCTCGCTCAGCAAAACGAGCCGCCCTCGCATGCGCAAGTGTAAGTTTACAAATGCGCCCTTCTTGTTAGGCAGTGCTAACGGATGTCGATAGTGTAGAAAGGTATGCAAAGACCAATGCGGTATATTATCGTCTTAATTTTGACATAATATGCGCAGGGCAAGGCGAAATGTGTCGTCTCAGATGACTCCAATACATGTCGTGAATGTCAGAAGAAAAATAAAGAGGTGAGATTCCCGCAACCACAGTCTTATCAGCCACCACTTACAAACAGATATAGTGTGTTTGGCTTGGATCAAATCGTGGCAAATGGAGTCGAGCTACTAGGCAACAAAAACTCGACAAACCGAAGCAGCAATCAGGACGACGGTCGCCAACAGTCACCTTTCGAGATCAAAGCATTGAAAGAGGTTTGCCTCGCTCGCCACTCGGTCCATCTCCGTCACACAGTTACTCAAGTGAAAACTCGGCAGCTCAATCAAATGCCTTGTCAGAGATTGTTGATGTTCATAACCCGGTACATTTCAAAGTTGACAGTGCATTATTTCCCCTTGGAGTACTAGCCGAGTATGATACCATCAGCCCACCCTAGTATCAAAGTTTTTGCTGACAAGCCTGAGACAGAGCGAGTCGGCAAATTGAATCTAGTTCTTCAGACTCTCAACCTCCAAACCGTTCGCCATCTCCCAATGGTTCAACTCGTCGTTGGGGACCATCCCAAGTGCTAGGTGTTGCAAATACCAGATACTTCCATGGCGATATTCGACAACGTAAGTTCGTTACTACTCTACCAGCATACATTGCTTACCCCAGTATCAGAACTTATACCTCAGGGGAATATCAAGGCCAGGCCCAGCATTCTCGCTGATCAGGTTATTACCGACACCCAGGTAAGAAAGGTACACCCGCTGCGATGTGACACAAAGCTAATCAGGTCTTCACCTAGGCCGAAGAGCTATTCAGAATGTAAGATATTCCTATACTCGTCCAGACCTTGACAGAATCTGATCTTTGTAGATATTTCCAAAAGCTAAATCCTCAGCTTGGATTGCTGGACCGAAAGTCGGCAACTCCACAGTCTTGCAGCCTTCGGTCGCCATTCCTGTTCATGTCCAGTATGTATATCTCTCATCTCATCTTCACTCAATATTAACACAAGCAGTTTGTGCTGTATCAGCGAGATTCTACAAGAAAGGCATACTCTATAATGTGCTTCTACAACATGCCCGGAGATCAGGATTGGAAGCAATGCAAACGGCCAAGTCGACAGCAACTGTGCAAGGTTTTGTTATTTTAGCAACTTGGTCTCAACCATCGGTCTCTTACGAAACAGATAACGCCTATCTGTATGCTGGGATTGCTATCAGGTGCGCTTTCCCTGTACCGCTAGCTAAGAGTATTCAGTCCACTGATCTTGATATTAGGGTTGGCGTCGAGATCGGTCTGCATCGTAAGACTGTTCTACGCTACTCAGACAACATGGATCCGTCAATCAAACAGATCTATACGGGTGAAATACTCTCGAGAGAGCGTACCTGGTTTTGTGTCTTTTTTCTGGACCGATCAATGAGCGCGTTGACTGGCAAGCCACCGCAGGCTCCAGAAACATATTCAATTCGTGAAGTCGACAAATGGTGGCGCCGGCCTGAATGCATCTTGTCCGATGTTTTCATTTCAGCCCTGACGCAGCTTCTTAGGCTTTTATACCGTTGCTTCGATGTAATATATTCCTGCAACGACACAGTCACTGGGGTCTCATCAGGATTAAACTACGTGGTTGTGGTAAAAGACTTACAATGGCGTTTAGACGAATGGGCTCAGATATGGATACAGAATCTTAGGGACTTCTATCACGAACACGGGCAAGAAGGGCCGTTAGACCTATATCTCTCAAAGCTTCGATTGTTTCGATCGTTTTACAATCTTGTACCACTTTCTTTCGGACTTCAGCATTGCACAATCGACGGCTTCAACCGTGTTGATCAGATATCATTCGTTACTCGTTGTTACGAGTGTGCGGTGACCACCCTAGAAGTCGCCAACAAGGAGCTGGCACCGAGTGGAACTTTCAAATTCGCGACTGATACTTGCGTCATTGCAGTCGCCTATGCGGCATGCTTCTTGCTGAAGCTCATTGGACCAGAATTCCGACACTTGTTTACGGAGTCAACTGTCCTTGATCTTGTCAAATCAACGGCCTCTCTACTCGAAGAGGAATCAGAAGATGACCGGCATATTCATTACCTCTACTCTTTATTCCTGGGCAAGCATCTCTCACTACACCAAGTGCCACCTGCAGCATCACAAACCCCGGGCCCATACACCCAACAAGCCCAGTTCTCATCGTTCTTGGTAGCTAATCCGGCCGTTGACCTACATACGACAGATATTAGTATTGATTTAGACGGCTCTCTGAATTTTACGTCCAATGCTGGAACTGAGGTATTCCGGCCAGCAGATGATATGAGTTCTGAATGGATTGATAGTGTGCTTGGCTTGCAGAACAGGAGGGACGATCCGTTTTCGTCAGGATTACAGATGGCACCTACAACTATGCACGGCGATGAGTTCATGCTGGATGACATGTCAAACTATCGGTGACCAAACGACAATAAGCTGTTCTTGGTAGAAAACACATTCTTGTGGATAGACAGCAAGTTAGGTTCTAGAATGTTAGATTATTATCGCATGCAGAAAGTACGTAGCAAGACTTTAAAGCTGTACGTTAATCTCGTGGCCAGTCGTACTTATCTTGTCCTTTCCGATCATCGATACCTCGGCTGTGCCATTCGTTTGGGGTCTCGCACTGGCTCGAGCTCTCAACAAGTGTTTCAGCACTTTCCCCGATGAGGTTCGTGGCAGCACATCGACAATCTCCACTTCTTTCGGTATCTTGTACCGAGCTATGCGTCCATTACAATACTCTTGTAGCTCTTCAGCTTCCAGTTTCTTCCCTGGCTGAACAACTATGTGAGCTCGTCCGGCCTCTCCCCACTGGGCATTGGGCACACCAATGACAGCTACATCTCTCACATAAGGATGCCCAATCAGCACTGCTTCCACTTCCGCCGAGTAGACATTTTCTCCGCCTGTGATATACATGTCCTTCTTCCTGTCCAGAATGTAAACAAATCCATCCTCGTCCTCCCGGCCGATATCGCCGGTACGAAGCCATCCATCTTCCGTAAAGGCTTTAGCCGTCTCTTCGGGGCGATTCCAATACCCTGGTGTTACATGTGGACCCTTGATCAAGATCTCACCCGCCTGTCCATCTGAGATGTACCGCCCGGTACGAGCATCCGTGATCTGCACCGAGCTCTGGGGTGCCCGCATCCCAGCCGATCCTGCTTTGACACGGATAACATCCTCATCAAGGGGCATCCCCACCGTTGTCGCCGCTTCTGTCATCCCGTAGCCGTCGACCATCTTGATCCCCCTATCCAGCCACCACAGAATATTTGAAGGTGGGTTCGGTGCACCTCCAGTAAATAGCGCTTTCAGAGTTGTCCACTTCTCCGGGGCAAAGTTCTCTGCATACCTCAACAACGTCGCCATTTGTGGAACGCAGAAGTAGTGAGTGACCGCCAGATTTCGGTCTGCCAAGTGGCGGTTGGTCTGTACGGCGTCGAATCCAGGGGTGATGAGCAGTGTGCCGCCGCGTAGGAGAGGCGCCCAGATCTGCACGACGAGCCCAATTACATGATACATGGGACAGTCGCAGAGAAAGATGCAGCCTGTCGAAACCTCGCCCAAGTATGCATAGTTTGTTGCGGTGGCAAAGAGGCATCGCGGCGTTAACATCACTCCCTTGGGTATCCCAGAAGTCCCAGAAGTGTAAAGGATAGTGCAGGGCTTGTCCAGCGAAACAGGTGACAGCCGAGTCTGAGATGCAGATTGTGCAGCATGAAGAGCCTTTATAAAGGAGCCAAAGCTAAGACACCTCGTTTGATATCCATCGGTGGTGTCTCTGGCCTGATAACAGGAGATATGTGTTTCGATTGGGTCGCGGCTGTAGAACAATACCGGCGAGCAGTCGGCTAAGATGCTTGCCACCTCGGGCGGTGATAGACGCCAGTTCACTGGTACATATATAGCATTCAATCGTAGTAATGCTTGCTGAAGAATGATTTGATATACACTGTTATAATCGAGCACGGCGACCCGATCGCCTGGCTGTACGCCTTCAACATCACCAAGCACCGTCACTGCCCGTTGGACGTCGGCGTCAAGCTCATGGTGTGTCCACCGGAGGCCACTATCAAGCTCGACGCAAGCCAGACCATTGGGACGTGTGCGGGCGTTGAATGTGATGGGATCGGCTGGGGGACGTTCCGCCATGATGTGCGGTGGTCATCTCAAGATTATCAATGCAAGACGCGCGGAACAGAGTAGGGTCGTTAGAAATCCACTATCGCTATGCACGCCCGTAGCGTATGCATGAAGCGTCTCTTTATTTCTCCAGATCGTGGACCATTCCTCATTCTCCCGACTGATCTGAATGTTAACTCAATTTGTCCAGTATCATTTGGCCGTATTCTGATCATCAAGGCAACATGGCCAAGCTCCTATCACGAGTTTCGAGCAAGGACTTAGGGTATCTTTAGTTGAATCCTTCGTTCGAACTTGGGTCAATATTTGTCAAGCACTTAGCACGACAGCGCTCAGGCTAACCTTCGAACGTCCTGACGTCAAATTTTCGAACCAATAGCACAGGGCCACTCGGACTCGAGCCCACAGTCTTTTATGCGAGCTCAATACTTCATCGGACAAGATTTCCCATCCTCCACGCTGCGGCTCGACAACAGTCGCAATTCTGCAGTCGATACGTAAAATTAGCGCTTACCAGTAGGTCCTCATGTAGATCCTAAGACCTCGAATTCGGACCAGGGTTTATCATGCAGGGCTAGGGTCAATCTCAGCACTGGCCGGTCTCTAAATCGTCCAGGGACTTCGACTCGATGCGCGGGGCATCGATCAATTTGCGATCCCGCGCGCGTGTATGAGAAGGTCTAACGCTAAGAACAGGCCAATTGTTCTGGCGAAAGAGCTGTAACATTGTTTTATTGTCAAATGGTTTGCGTAAACGATCAACAAATTACAACGTTCGGGAGTATTTGTATCAGCCCCCAGGGTGCTATTCTTTGCGTCGAAGGTTGTAGATTTCTCCACCCCGACTTGGGAAGATCTGTCATTAGTATTGCGTTCTACACGCCAACCGAACCATGAGAGACAATGGCCGACACCGAAGTATGGATCGTGCACATATCAACGGGACATTTCAGCCGGCTAGCGGCTACGACCAGCCGTTCGTCAACGACCATGCAGATGGAGCGGCCAGGAATGACCTCGGCGGGCGTGGTGGCGACATCGACCGTAGCACCGTCGAGCAAATCGCCATCATTGGAATGGGAATGCGTCTTCCAGGCGGCGTCCATGATGCCAGTGGCTTCTGGGACCTTTTGGTGAACGGACGAAACGGACGTTGTGAAGTCCCTGCGAATCGTTACGCCATCGACGCGTGGTATGGTCCTGGCCAGCCACTGCATATTGGCACCCGCTGGGGCAACTTCTTGCGAGACTACAACCCGGCCCATATTGATACCAGTTTCTGGTCAATGTCAAAGGAGGAGGCGGAGACAATGGATCCGGAGCAGCGGTTGTTGCTAGAGGTCGTGTACGAGGCCTTCGAAAGCTCTGGTAGACGCGACTTTCGAGGGGATGAGGTTGGGGTGTACGTGGGCACGATGGGCACTGATTGGGAAAGAATTGAGCAAAACGATAACCTGAATCTGGAACCTGTCCGTGCCGACATCTATGGCGATTATATATTGGCAAACCGTGTCTCGTACGAGTTCGATCTCAAAGGTCCAAGGTAGGTCGGCCTCACCTGGCTAAAGCCTATACCACGACGGAACGAACGTGCTAAGCTTGACCATAGCATTGTCTTGCGTACAGCTTGCTCCTCATCGATCTCAGCTCTACATATGGCTTGTCAGGACATCCGGTCTGGGGAATGCACCTCCGCCATGGTTTGTGGAACTAACCTTATCATTCACCCCCGTGACACGGCCTTGATGACGGAGCAGGGAGTTCTTTCTCCTTCTGGATCATCGAGAACCTTTGACGCGGATGCAGATGGGTATGGCCGTGGGGAGGCTGTCAATGCAATCTTGGTGAAGAAGCTGTCCGACGCCGTCAGAGACAACGATCCAATTCGCGCCGTCATTCGCAACACCTGTATATCGGGTGATGGAAAAACGCCAGGGCTGACAGTTCCGAATCCTTCTAGCCATGAGAAGCTGATCAGACGAGCATACGACGCAGCAGGTATCGGGGATCTCTCGACAGTTGCCATGGTAGAGTGTCATGGAACAGGGACAGCGGTATGGATGACACGACGAGGTATCTTGACATGCGCTGCTGGCAAACACTGACTTGCGAACAGGTCGGAGATCCCATCGAGATCGAAGCAATCGCTAACGTTTGGGGAGAACATGGCATTCATATAGGTTCGGTACGTGCTAGGACGTGTTAGATGATTGAGACTAGACGGTATCGAAGCTAAGAGTTCTCTTCAGGTGAAACCAAATATCGGCCACGGAGAAGGTGCATCCGGCCTCTCGAGTATTATCAAAATGGTTCTTGCTCTAGAGAACCGGACGATTCCTCCTAACATAAACTTCAATACTCCCAATCCAAGAAGTAAGTTTCAATACATTCGTAACACCAGCGCTCAATCGGTTAGATCGTTTCGTTGGAAAGGCTAACCTTGAGCCTCTGTTCACTCAATGTAGTACCGTGGAAGAAAGCAAAACTCACAGTTCCCACCAATGCGATTCCATGGCCTGTTGGTCGCTTGGAGCGAGTGTCTATCAACAGCTTCGGCATCGGCGGCGCAAATGCTCATGTAGGTTTTTGTTTCTGGAATTTCATGGAGATCATGCCAGGCTTGCTTCAATTATTTTCGCTTGCTGACGGTCAATTTAAGGTTATCCTCGAGTCATCCACGTGCAACTCCGTTAACGCGGCTCCTGGACATGGCTCGGATTTGCCTCGCAATCCGCCTGAAGGATGGCAATACCTGCTACCTTTTTCCGCCAAGAGCCAGCATTCGCTCCTCAAGCGAGTGGAGCACATAAATTCATACCTATTAAAGAATCCCCAGAGCCTGTGCGACCTGGCTTATTCCCTGTCAGTGAGACGAGAGTCGCATTGCTTTCGCGCATTTTCCATCATCAGCAACCCCGTTGAAGCAGGTGATGCTCCAATCGTCAATAAGGTTCCAACCGATGTCCCGCAGTTGATATGGGTATTTACAGGACAGGGGGCCCAGTGGGCTCGAATGGGCAAAGAGCTTATAGAAAAAGTGCCTTTAGCAGGTCAGCGCTTGAAAGAATTACAAAACATTCTCGACGATTTGCCAAAGCCCCCAACTTGGACACTCAAAGGTAGGATCATTTGATGATCCTAATGTTCCTTTATGCCAGTTCTGTGTTTTAATCCGACTACAGATGCGCTGTTTGCCCCGCAAGAGAAAAGTCAACTTTATGAAGCCGAGTTTTCGCAGCCGTGTCTTGCAGCAATACAGATAATACTTGTCGACCTTCTACGGTCCTGCCGTGTAGGACCAGCAGCCGTCGTTGGACACTCGTCTGGTGAGACTGGCGCCGGGTATGCTGCCAATGTCATAACCGCAAAGGATGCCATGATTCTTGCCTACCATCGTGGCCAGATCACGCCGCCCTTGAAGGCTGCTCATCGGGGTGGCATGGCGGCAGTTGGCATGGGAAGAGAGGAGGTCGAGCCTTATTTACGAACGGGCGTCATTGTTGGCTGCGAAAACTCTCCATCCAATGTCTCCCTATCGGGAGACAGTGATGTCCTAGAACGAGTAATGGAGGATATCAGGCACAAGCGGCCAGAAGTGCTGTGTCGACCATTGCAAGTCGAGTGTGGGTATCATTCGCGTAAGTTCCTTCCGCTTACTAGCCTCCTCAGGCAACTCTTCTGTTTAAGTTAATTTACAATAGCACACATGTTTGCCATTAGAGGCAATTTTGACGCTCGAGTGGCTGGTATTGCTATTGGTAGACAGCCCCGGGTGCCATTTTATTCCTCTGTGACAGGGAATCTCAACGTCGACTTCCCTCGAAGTTATTGGTCTACTAATATGGTTTCGCCGGTTCTTTTCAGCACTGCGGTCGAGACTCTGCTATCTGACTTTCCTTCTGCCACGTTTATTGAGCTTGGGCCTCACTCGGCGATGTCTGGGCCCCTCCGTCAGATCCTGCAGAAGAACAATCGCACGGCTGATTATATACCGACGCTGGTTCGCAACATGGATGGCCACGCCTCGATTCTCAGGGCTGCGGGTCAGCTGTGGGCGAAAGGTTACAAGATCGATCTCAACACTCTTAACGCTCGAGGCAGATTACTCACCAATCTGCCAACCTACAATTGGCATTATGATGCCGAGTACTGGATGGAAGGCCGAGTGTCTCGCGACTGGCGATTCCGTAGATTCCGCCAACATGAGCTCCTTGGGATTCGCGTTCTTTACACTGGCGACGCGTTACCCGCATGGCGGTGCAAGCTTAGGGTTGGAGATGTGCCTTGGTTGAGAGACCATAGCATTGGCGGCGAGATCCTGCTCCCTGCAACAGGATACATAGCCATGATTGGTGAAGCAGTGAGACAGCTTACCGGGTCGACAGATTACTCTGTACGGAATGTTAACTTCCTATCTCCACTCATACTCGGCGATGAACCTGTGGAGATAATCACCTCGCTTGTGCCAATACAGGATGCAAAGCCCTCGCCATGGTACGACTTTTCTATTTCCTCGCTGAGTGGTGAGATATGGACGAGGCTAGTGGCAGGACAAAGTCGTGGAGGGCCAATATCCTTGATGCCGCTCTCCAGTGTCACGAAAGAGCTACCGAGGAAGATGTCTGCAGAAGGCTTCTATTACGCCTGCCAGCGACGGGGCCTAACATACGGCAATTTATTCCGCGGCCTTACTGAGATAAGCTCCCACACAACCGAAGGCAAAGCAAAAGCCATCGTTCCGGATCTCATTCCAATTTCTCAACATACTTCACAATATGCGATACATCCGACAGCCCTCGACTCTTGTCTTCATTTAGGGATGGTTTCGGCCTCCCGAGGACTAGAACGAAATTTTACTTCAGCGTCGGTGCCGAAATTTATCGAAGAAATGTATATAACAGAGCATCAGTCGGGTGCTATTGCTGTTGAGGCCGAGACAAGGAATAGTCCCCAGCGCGGTGCACTTACTGACTTCATTGGTATCTGCAATGGGAAAGTATGTTTCCAGCTCCATGGCCTAGAGGTGTCGTCTTACAGAACCAACGAGCTTGTCGACGAAGATCCGCATGCCGGATCTATCCTCGAATGGAAAGCCGACATTGACTTCATTACACCAGCGCGGTTGTTCAATCATTCTCAAAATGTTGGATCAGTGATTCAAATTAACAGGCTTGCACTTGCTTGCCTTCTAGAAACTCGAATTGAGCTTGAAGCCCTAGAAGGGCACTCCTCACACTTAAAAATGCTCAAGGGCTGGCTGAATAGAACTTACGAAGCCGCGGTTAGGGGAACCTATGCCGGAGTGTCAGACTGCCAGGAACTGGTCGCAATGAAATCAAATGTTAGGCAGCACGTCATAAAAGACATTCTGGACGTCTGCTCCAGGGACAAAACTGTTGTGAGGGACATTGCATCTCGCATACATTGGACCTATTCTCATGCTAGGGCGTTTTTCTCCATGATTGGGGTCTCAGATTCGCCAATTCCGACCAATCTTGGTTCTAAAGCACAGACTCTGGAGTTTTTCCATGATGATGTTGATATGGCAGATTTCTTTACTGTTTTAACCCACCAAAATCCTCGCCTACGAATTCTACAGATCGGCGCTGGAAGCGGCGACAATCTGGGTAGATTGCTCACATACCTCCAATCAAAGCAAAAAGTCCATCTGTATGACAGCTTTACAGTGATTGACCCCAACCAAGAGACAGTCGAGGACGCAAAACGAAGGTTCAATAAGTATCCAGCTATAGAGTTCTTAACCATGGACATGTCGAGGGATATGCTATCGCAAGGCTGCAAGGAGACCTTTTATGATCTTGCCGTCATTTCAGAGACCAAATCTGATCAGGAGACAACGCACACAGATTTACTGTGTGCTGTTAGGAGACTTCTGCAGCCACACGGAAGGCTCCTGATCCAGGATTTCAATTCCAATGGTGCAACAATAGGGTATCTCAGAGCCCTCGAATCGCCCTGGTGGTCGCCAGATAGAGAAGCCAGCATAGATGCATGGCAAGCCGCCCTGCATGAGACCGGGTTCGACGGCAAAGATACGTCGATGTTTGAAGGTGTGTCAAGCAGCGTCATAGTCGCCCGCCCAACCATTGCAGCAATTCGATCTGTAGAGAAAGTATACGTTCTCTGTCGCAATACGACAAATCCTTATATCTCTGCTTTTACGAGCTTTCTAGCCGCGACTCGAGGCATTGAGACGTCTTTCGTTTTGATAGGCGAGGAGCTACCATCCGGCAAGCCCATCATCAGCCTCCTAGACCTTGAGGAACCTTTCCTATGCGACATGACACCAGACATGTTCAGCGCCTTCAAAAAGTCAATCATGTCTGTGCATGATACTAGTATGCTGTGGGTGACGAGTGCGTGTCAAATTGAATGTAAAAGGCCAGACTTTGCATTGAGCATTGGTGCTTTACGGACTATCCGCCACGAGACTTCAGCCGACATCATTACTCTCGAAGTGGATCGCTACGACAACGAGGCGTGGAAGGCAGTGGCAGACTTGCTTGACAACTTCCAGTACCGCAGTATTCATGACGAAAGTGTTGAGCCGGATTCAGAGTATGTCTTTTCGAAGGGCACTATCATGATAAGTAGATTTAGAGCAGCTCGGGTGAACGATGAACTGCTGGATCACACACATCAGCCTAGTCTGAAAAGACTACTGGTCGATAATTCAGGGAGTCCACAGGACGTGCAATGGGTCCGCTCAGAAGAAGCTGATTTGGCTGAGCATTCTGTTGAAGTCAAGGTTGCAACTATCGCTGTTCCCGAAATGGGCTGTAGTGGTTACGAGGGAAATGGCGTTGTGAGCCGCATTGGATCACAGGTTCAACTTCTCCATACGGGAGATCAAGTAATTTTCTTCGGCAGTGACTCCTGTTCAACGCGGACGGTGGTGTCAGAAGCGCAGTGCGTAAAGGTTGAAAGCTTTGTTTCTGCAGAGGCTCCTTTTATTCCTCGCTCTTATATACAGGCAGTCTATGCACTAGAGAAAGTTGCAAGACTTAGCAGAGGTCAGGTACGTCAAATTATTTCGCAGTGGAATTTCAGATAAAGCTCATACTCTTAGTCTCTTCTCATAACTTACGCCTGTAGCACGGGAGGTCTCGTGGCATTAAATGTAGCAGATATTATTGGTGCTGAAGTTAGTATATTTCGACACACAGACAACACATCTCTAAAAAGGTAGCTAATCCATATCTGCAGACATATTGCACCGTGGCAAATCGAGAAGAGGCAGAGTATATCTGTAACAGCTGCGGTGTATCTAGGGACCGCGTATACTATGAGACATCATCATCTTTACAGCTTCTCAACCCTGAGGGTTTCGAGGTTGTGCTCAATCTGAAAGCCGGTGTCAATCGAGCCAAAGCCATGAATTGCGTGGCGCCCTTC